CAGCATTTAATACCCTTCGTAATATGACATAGTCTTTTTTAAGAAGCCCAGGAAAGATTAATGGAGAACAATAGAGTACAATAGGTAAAATACAGGAGTTTAAAAATTGCAGAACTAAAGGTTGGTTGATACCTGATTGTCTTAACTTTTTAATGTAGAAGGTAAGACGAAACATTTTCTTAGAGATTAATAAGATGTGGGATGATCATGAAAGGTCAGAAGAAAGAACTAATCCAAGGTATTTAATGCTTGACTTGGTTTCAATTTCAGTGCCATCTATGCTACAGGCATCATGGGAACTAACTAGTTCATGTCTGTCACGTCGATGCTTGAAAGTAAAGTTAACTGCCTGACATTTGGAAGGATTTAACAAAAGACCATTTGACTAAGACCACTTGCTGATGTCCAACAGAAAGCTATTAAGTTTGGAGCAGTCAGACTCGGAAGTGATAGGCAGTGATACAGTCAGATCATCAGCATATTTGACAAAATTAGTTTCGTTTAAATGAGGCAGGTCGTGTAGGAAGAAAGAAAAAAGAAAAGGAGAGAGGACGGCACCTTGAGGAACACCGGCTTTTGTAAGCAAAGCAGAAGAAGATTTGCCATTATATGCAGTATACTGCATTCTATCAGAAAAATAAGAATGCAGCCAACTCTTAGCCCAGGATGCTGTGTGCGTCAAGGAGAGCTTATTTAATAAAAGGCCCCTAGGTACAGAGTCAAATGCAGATGTGTAGTCTAGGAAAGCACCACGAACATATTTGGCACCTTTGTCTAAACAAGAAACAACATTATGATATAAGACAACCGCAGCATCCAAGGTACTTCTACCATGTTTATATGCAAATTGCTTAGGATCATTAAAAGCTTTCAATGAAGGTTCAAGACGAAGTAAAAGTAGTTTTTCCATCAATTTTAAAAAAGGAGAAGTAATTGCAATAGGCCTAAATTTAATACCGGTACCAGAAGATTGTTTTGGTATAGGGATAATTTTAATGTTTTTCCATGCAGAAGGTAGAACAATACTGGAAAAGGAAGCATCAAAAATATTAGTAAAAGGACAACACAAAATATCAGCACAGTTCCTGAGGACAATGGCAGGTACGCCATCAGGACCAAGGCTTTGGGAAGGCTTAAGAGAACGGAGACATTTAAGCACATCAAGGGTATTAAAACCACTAAAATTATTGTCTATGTGATTTGTATCATTAGGAAGGATATCGACAGAAGAGCGTATGAAAGGCTTATTAAGACTATCAACATTAAGAGATTGGAAAGAAGTACACCGCTTACCGCTAGTTATTTCTTTAAAAAGTTTCCACAAACTAGAAGGGGTTTTACATGACAAGAATCTTTGGTTGTATAAAACATTTAGTCTGTGCATTTCGAGTTTTATCATAGTATTTAGCTTCTTTACACCTGACTTATCATTTGTTTTGAACAACAGTTCTTTATCTCTACGTAGCTTTTTGAGATATGGAGAAGAGAAACGGTCAAATCGAGTGAATAATGTTTCTTTAGGACAACATATTTCGAAACAGAATTTAAGATAATCTGTAGTGTTTGTGATTGTGTCATTTAATGATTGTTCTGTAAATAGGTCCCAGTTAGTATCTTTCAACATGCATCTGAGTTTGCTTAGGTTGTCTTGTGAGTAGCATCTCCGTTGAAATTTACTGTAGAGGTGAGAGAAAACACGTTTGTGTGATTTGGAATATATTTTAGGCAGTACACGTATGATGCATTGGTCAGAGTTCAGTACAGGAGCACGTTTGCGAGCTTCATATATACCAACATCATTGATGAATACTAGATCTAGTGTTTTTTCGAGACGGGTAGCAAAGTTAACAATATTGTCATGGCCAAGTGATATAAGGAAGGAGTGATCACATGAGTTAAAATCGCCAGTCACTATTGATAAAGAGTTCTCGAAGCAAGCTGCAGCAAAAGCGGTGAATTCATCTGCGAACATAGATAAATCCAATATGGTACAGCCAGGAGAGACATAAACATTAGAAATATAAATGAATTTGTATTTTGACAAGTGTTTCGGGCGACATCTGACAGTGATGCAATCAATGTAGTCATTCGAGAATTTGAAACAAACTTTGTTAGAAATGGACCATTTTGAGTGAATAAATGTAGCTACACCTCCGCCACATTTTTTCTTGGAACAAACACGGTCTTGTCGGAATACATTAAAATCATTTAAAGATACTATATTGTCATCATATGAGTCATGGAGCCAGGTTTCTTGTAGAGTGACAATACCAGTATTGTGATAAGTTTCGGATAACAACAGGGACTGAAAATCCAGAATTTTGTAAGGCAGTGACCGGCAGTTGGTACTAACGATAACCGGAACAGTGGTTTGATGTATGGGTGTAGATTTTAAAGCACGTTGCCAACCACCATGGTGCTTTTTCTTGAGTTTATTGCAAATATGAAATTTTTTAGGTTTTAAGCATTTTATATAATCCCGAGAGTGGATGATACGATTAGAATGCATAATTTTAAATGTAACCCCAATAAAATATGAGTAAATAGATGCAAAAAGTACATGGAATATGGTAGCCCAAAATGTTCAAACAGGCCGCCAAGGTCTTCAACCCATCTCTTAGTTACAGTTCGATTATTGATCACATGTTTGAATCATTTTGATGACATAAGCAATAACCCTAACTTATTTTTATTTTTGTTTGACAATCCTAATGTATATACACACACAAAATAATTAAATATTAATGTAGTTGTACAGCTAAGTGAATTAATTCGCCGAAAAGAGACTCTTCTGTGAATTTTTGTTCTTATATTCATGTCTCGATGGATATTTTCCGTGAATACTATTTCATCATAAGCTGACATCAGTTAGAGAACCATTGGAACATGACAGGGACTACTGGACAGCTGCTTCGTCCTAGTATGGGACTCTTCATCAGTACGCAACCACCAACAAGGTTCAAAACCAGGACCTTCTGGTTACAAGGCTAGCGAGCTCATAGACCATTAAGCCACTGGGACCCTATCCAATGGTCCATGAATTCTAAATTCTACTACTGCTGTACCCTACATTACAGGTATTTTGTTCACATAAGATCAGGAATTGCCTAGAGGCTGCATACTTTCAAACAAAATGTAGATGTGATCAGATATTTCCATGAAGTAATTTTTCTTACCCTGACGACCTCATAATTCCATCCAATACTACTTTATTTCCACGTAGTGAATCTTTCAGCTTAAGCAATTTCCACACCGTTTTGCCAACACGGTTAATGAATTAGTAAAGAAGAGCAACGGCTAATTAGTATAAGCCAAATTAAAAAGGAAATAATTTTAGTGAATAAATCGAACTACTTATATATCTTATAAGTAGAAATGGAATTCTATTATAAGCTTTTTGAGATGCAGTTAAAAATCTGCCATTCTATATTCTGTGTTTATTTTATATAACCTAGGTATGATTTCATGTAATAAATTGCGCTCGAGATGTCACCCAACCATTGATACTGTGACACTGTGTGTTATAACATATAAGTTTATCTAAAGTGGAATTAAACACCATCAGAGCACTCAATTCTAATCTCGTATCACATTTTAAACAAGTTAATAACTGACTCCATTGAGTTCGAGAAATGGCAGTTGACCGCTCTCGAAAATCACTCCTGAGTCGGAACAAATATAAATTTTCCTAACGTTAGGAGGAAGCGACAAGACAAATCACAAAATTCTTTCTGTTTGACTTAGGGGAAAAACTCCATACAGTTATAAATGTAAACAGTTTGAAATATTTCCATTTCAGATTAACAGTTCTTATCTTCAGCTAGAAGATTGAAAATCTGAAGAAGAAGATGGAGGGCTAGAAGTCAGGCTAGAAATCCCACCCGGTAAAAATATCACCACAGCTAGTGAAACTTCACAAGAATGAACGATGAGTTCACCTCGGAATGCAAGGAATTAGAGAAAACATTGTGTGACTTTGTTACAACTAATCAACACCATCATCTATTTCATCACACCACTTCGTATTCAAATTCAAGTAACCACATTTTCCACTCAAATACCAATTACTTCACTATTTATTTACTTTTTGAGGAGAAAGAAACCAATCGCAACCACTCATCTAATTCCTAACTACATCGAGAACACTCAACAAGATTTCCTCAGCTTCTCCACTGTCAAAAGATGACGCCTCGAATGGCTTGGATGACCGAAATTCAGACAGCAGGGAATTTGTCAAACTGCACTTTGTCTATCAGTATCAGTATCTTCACTAAGGAAATGCTTTCACATTATACGAACGAATAAATCTGTCTGTGCGCTTCTTTTCCGATATACTCAGCTACTGGTAATTTAGACGTTCACAGTGTAGCATCTCTACTATCTGACGACAATGTTAGATTTCTAACAGAAAATTCAACTGACTGACCAGAGATAATTAAATGATTTACAAGATTATTTGATGCTTCTCTCAAACATCATACATATTTATTCGATGAAATATTCACAGGAGACTTATTCTGCTATAATCTGCCCTGTGCAACGTAGTGATAGACTGACATCAGTAATAAAAAACTGTGTGTTTACGTGCACTACCGTTTGTCCCTGAGTCGAACGATATCAACTAATCAGTTTCCAGATGAGATGTGCTGATTATGAACACATTGAAAAAAGTTATTATTACTTAAAACCATTCGGAGATGAAAACGCATGACTGTCAATAGACTATTGATGAGAGGTGTCTTGGATTTACTTGTGAGACAAGATAATTGGTTGTATTCTCTGTTACTCAAGCACTCAAAACAAATCCCATCTCAGTGGCTGTTGTCGATCTGACTCCATATCTGATTGTTTGTTATAACCAAGAATATCATCATCAACACTGTCGTTTCGTACGACATATGATATGTGAGATTAAACGCAAGGCACATCATACCAATAATGGAAGAACACATTTGTTGCAATGCAAAAGACAACTCATTCAACAATTTGTTTATATTCTGTGCAAAGTATAAAATATATATTCAAAGATTAATTCGGTTAGGGGGACAATGATGATTTCGATTATGGTACATCAACATGTGTGCATGTAAATAAAAAATAAAAAAACAACATCTTCATATCTCATCTGAATCATCAAATACAAAATGCAGACTACACGATTTCTGAGATAAATAGTCTGACAGTGAGACACACATGGAGAGCATCCATGAACACATCAGCCGACTCGCGTGTGTTAACAACCACAACGGCCAACCATCCAGTAGTGGACAGTGTCCACAAACTAGACTGGCTGGTGATAAACAAGAGGTCGCCATACTCTCCATAGGCAAAACGAACAAACGTCTTGAATATCCCAGACACGAATGATATAACTCAACACGTGAAGCATAAGCGATCCAGTTCGAGATCCAGCACATTGTTGTAAGCAGACCAGCTCCAGGAAGAATCAGGTGTTCTGACTCTTTTGTAGTTGGTGGTGGGAACCACGCCCATGTTAAAGACAGCCATTCAATACTTCTCCAACAGAATTTGAAACACCTATGTGGAATATCTGATGGTGGAATCAGCGTGATTCTATTGAGTATGGGTGAGAATGGTGACAAAGCCTGAAAGTTAGAAAAGTGAAAACACTTGGTTTGTTCACATGTTACGAGAAATGTGGATGACAAGTATAAAATGTGAATGGATGGAGACTGTACAAACCTGAGATTACATTGAGATGGTTTACTTAGTAGCTGACTTTTGTCAGAATAAAGTTACTCGCATTGTACTAGAATTTCAAGGTAGGCAGTTTTAACGCAAAACCGGATGTGACTACTGAATATACCTAAGTGTACTTCAGTCATTCGATATATAAACTGTAATTGGCCGCTTCTTCTTTACTCACTTACTTTCAGTAATACTCTAAGAAGGAAATCGTGCGTATCGAAATGTTGACATAACACATAAGAGATCCTTGTGCAATGATTACTTCAGATTGAATATCATCTACGAAATCGATGAATTTCAGGTGAACATTTTTCACAATAAATGTATTCGGTAATCATTTCATGACTGATTATGTGAGAATTTTGCAACCCATAACTGCTTTGTATCTTTCTGGATTGAATACTTGAATAATAGCACTGTCACTTTGTCAGTTAGTGTATGGATTCATGTTATGCAGAATGAAAAAATTCACGCAGAATAAACGGTTTCCATTCTCCTCGATAATCCAGAAAGGTATGTTTGAATCTTGACTGAATAAATAGAGCTGGCTTAGACATCTGGATGACAGGTGCCCTAGGTGGTGTGTAGAGAATCCGTTAATCATCTGCTACAAATTGGAATATGGGAAGTACTGACGACCAGGGAGAATCAATTTTACTATGTGAATAGAGTCGTGTGGGTTTTCTCCTCTGAGTGATTATGCATTTGATTGAAGTTACTTATGAGTATGTGATGAAAGTTGCACTAGCAATTTTGTGTTATCTCAAATTTCATTTGATGTTTGATGTTGTGATATGGAGGTGAATTGATTCCCTGCAGATTTTTGTCTATGGGATTAATAACTCTTTTTTGCGATGATGTGATAGATAGTTTTTTATTTTTGGTTACTTTAGATAAGTGTAGAAATTCGTAGAGGAACTTTACTAGGCTTAGCCACTGTTACATATATGTGATAACTGAAGATTTCCCACACCGCCTAAGGTTTTGCAGGCCATCACTTCCGTAATTATTTTGTTCTGACTACTTTACCTTTAATCGTTTATTACAGAAACAATTTGAAGACTCATTTATTTTTGATTGGTTGGAGGATTTCATCATGGGCTGACATCAGTCAGAAACCCATTGGGAAACCTGCAAAGAGTACTGGCGAGCTGTTTCGTCCTAGTCTGGGACTCTTTAGTGGTACTGAACCACTAACAAATTTCTAACTCAAAACCTTCTGGTTAGAAGGCTAGCGAGCTCGTAGACCATTAAGCCACTGGGACCCGATCCAATGGCCCAGCTCATGAATTCCAACTTCTGCCAATTGATAACATAGTGCAACCACTTCGTAATGCTCACTAGCGACTGGCCCTATTCAGGCAGTTAACCTGGAATTCTAGTGGGAAGCCGTGACCAGTAGAGTTCAGAAGTTTGAAGGTGAGGCATCAACTCATCGAAGAAGACATCGCCAAGTAGTCGCTCCATGTAATGAACTGGCAGAAGTTGGAATTCTTGGGCTGGGCCATTGGATAGGGTCCCAGTGGCTTAATGGTCTATGAGCTCGCTAGGCTTGTAACCAGAAGGTCCTGGTTTTGAACCTTGTTGGTGGTTGCGTACTGATAAAGAGTCCCAGACTAGGATGAAACAGCTGTCCAGTACTCCCTGTAGATATTCCAATGTTTCTCTGACTAATGTCAGCTCAAGATGAAACCCTCCAACCAATCAAACACAATCCCTACAAAACCAATACTTGAAAACTCATGCATGTCTTTATATATATATATATATATATATATATATATATATATATTGGAATAGGGCCTTAGACGGGGATCTAATTCACAGTAAATATTTCTTCGCTCAATTTTCTGTCTTCCAAATGTCTTAATGAGGATTTTTTCTAAATTTATTATATAACGAGTAAATACTTTCAAAGAACCGAACTGTATTAACAGAAATAAAATCTTCAAAGGGAATCTAAAGTTAAATGAATAAATTTTAATAGGAAATCAGAATTATTAAATATGTGAACTAATTCTGACTTACCAGTGAATCGACAAGGAAAAGATTGTCACAATTTTGATACTTCGTCGACAATCGATTCAATTCCACTCGTAGATGTGAACAAGTTCCTATTCTGTTGTATGTCGCGTCTTCTGTTTCTTGACTTCCTTCAACATAGTAAAATCGTCCAGGTGCAATAAATGGCGCCCAACGTGTTTGGAAAAATATCCACCACCAAGGTTTTTCAATTCTCTTAAACAATATCATTGACCGATCAACATAATATCGATTTGGTTCGACGAATAAATTGCTTTTAAAGTCTTCAAAAGTGTTGTATTCATTCAAGACTTCTGTATCTGAGAAAGACATGCTTTCCATTACATCCACGACTTCATTTGTTTCACTACGACGTTCTTTGTCCACTTCATTGATAGATTCAGTCTTATCAGAAGTTATGCTTCCCTTAAGTGATGGACAATCACCTTCACACTCAGAATTATCATTATCACTATTATACACAGAACCAGACGGTATTGATTCACAAGAATATTTGAAATCACTCTCTTTACCTCTGACTATACGTGGATTAAACTGTGATGATTTTTGCATCAAGTTTAATTTACCATCCACGCTCAAGGGAAATGATGGAATCCAGCTTCGGCTTATGGCTATGACATCGAAATCGGAATGGTCACATGAATAAAATTCAACATAATAATAACGTGAAATATTACATCCCTTAAATGTCTGCATTTCCTTTTCAGTTATTAAGCCTATTTTTTCAATTGTAATTTCAAGACATAGTAAGGATACATTTTGAGTAAATATTTGATGTTCACTATCTGGTGATGAGAAATTAGATAAGCTGGATTCAGATCGAGCGTAAATCTCTTTACAGTATTGTGATGAATTGTAACTTGCTTGGCACTTTGTTAGTGAGTAGGATTCGCCTATTTCGTTCTGTACTTTTAACGTATTTACTTCCTGTTCATTTGGAAATTGAAAAAAAATGTTAATTAATAAGTTTTATGGTTTGTAAATTTTTTTCACATTTACGTGTTTAATGTATTCGTGTAACAAGGCGTCATATTAAATTGTTTTTTTTTTGCTTTCTAACCTAGTAAATAGGTGCAAATGAAAGCCTAATTCATTATTCTAATTCTATTGATTATTGCCATCTAGATCACGATGAATAACTGCACCTTTGATATTGTAGTATGCCGGGGTTTGTTTAATGAATACATAAACTAATTACATTGTGTCATTACATACTACTAGTACTGCTCATACGAACTGTGATCAAGATTTGACAGAATAGTTCTAAAATATTTGGGCGCCGAGTGAGAAGTAGACATTTGTAAAAAATTATATTTGTAAAGTCTCAGCGAGATGTTCTGTTAATTTCGATTAATTTCCCTGAAGAAGTTCGGACCAGTTTGCCGAACGAAACGTTGGAATTACTCATTTCAATCTCGCTGAGACTTTACAAATATAATTTTTTACAAATGTCAACTTGGAATATAATTCTGAATACAAACACATGAATGAACGTGGAATATAACTCAAACACAAAAAAACAAACATGAATGAACAAAAATAATGAACTATATATATGAGTACAAATCATAAATGTGTGAATCAAACAATTCCAACAGTGGTGTGAACACGGGCAGTAATTTTGCTCGAAATATTACCAATAACAAAACTTATCATTGTGTGTAAACTATTGAAATATGATTATACTTTATTTGATCATGGTTGTAGATAACTGAATATGAAAAATATATGTGTGCATACAATATGCGGGATACAATGGTTTGTGTGTGTGTGTGCTTGTGTGTATGGGTGAACAGTTGTAAATCATTTGTTAGCCTCTCCATGAGAAGATATAGACAAACGCGAATTTAGACCAAGTATGATAAATTAGTAATACAAATTCATTTTTTATTTATTAATCAGGATTTACGATAAAAAAGATAACTAAAATGTGATGATGAAGGTGAATTGAAACCTGTTGCTAAGACCAGCGGTACTACAGCGGTGATTCCTTAACGCAAAGAAACATCGGATGAGACAAAGCGAATCCATAACAATCATGACATAAGAATGTATTTCCGGGGAACTAAGAACTAAGACGCATCACTGGTGAAGGTTGAGGATAAAATGAAAGAAGACAACCAACAGAATTGTGTGTACCTGATCAACTGTGGGGACTGCGACGCCGTATATGTAGGAGAAACTTCTAGACAGGTAAATATGATAGTGGGAGAGCATAAACATTGTCTAAAGGTGGTTCCAAAGACCTCTGCCCACTTGAATAAGCTAGAGAAGAGATCGGCGATTGCACTGCGCTCGATAGAGACGGTACACAGGATCGACTTTGATAGAACTAAGATTCTACAGAAAGGTTTTGGTTCGTATAAAGAAAGACTGACTGCAGAAGCATTGTATATATGGATGAATCTCAACAGTTTGAACAGACGTGAAGGTGTGATGTTAGCTGGTGCATGGCAATTCCTGATTAATAAATAAAAATGGATACGTATTACTAATTATTCATACTAATTAATCATTGTCTATATCTTCTTATTGGGAGGCTAACAAATGATTTACAACTGTTCACCCATACACACAAGACACACAAGCACACAAAACATTGTATCCCGCATATTGTATGCACATATGCATTTTTCATGTTCAGCTATTTACAACCATCAACTTTAGTCGAACATAATCACTAAAATTCTGATGAAAATGTACACTGTGTTTAACAAAAGTTGACCAATATTTGTAGGAAGTCTGAGGTCAAATATTGATCACAGTTCACACAATTTTGTTTATTATATTTTGATGCCTGTTTTATGACTGATGTGATGAGACAGTTTTAAAAAAAATAAGAGATGTCGTTTTTACAGATAAACTTCTGTTATTTTAATTTCCATTAATTTCCCTGAATAAGTTCGGACCAGTTTGCCGAACGAAACGTTGGAATTACTCATTTCATTTTCGCTGAAATTTTACGAATATAATTTTTCAAATGTCTACTATTACTTCTGTTTGTCTCCATTTTGCTTACTGTGGTAAAAGAACATTACCACTACGGTCCTATTTACTCTTTCGTGATTCCGCTTACAAGTTTCAGTTAGTGCTGAGTCAATAGATTACTTCTTGGATGGAGGATTTCATCAGGATCTGACATCAGTTAGAGAACCACTGGAAAACCTACAGGGAGTACTGGATATCTCTTTCGTCCTAGTTCGGGACTCTTCAGCAGTATGCACCCACGGGGGTTCGAACTCTTTGGTTCAATCGAAGAGCACTACTGCTGGCGTCATGAGCAAGATCAAGCAAAAGATTGCTAATTCAACGAAAAAATGGATAATTTATTCAAAATATTTGACATCAAATGTTCTTCTTTGGGAGCTGAGAGATATATGGACGATTTGAATGGTGGAAAATAACGGGAAAATTAATGACAGCAATATGACAGCCCTTTCACTTACTTCTTTGGGAATAGGAATTTTATTCTATTTTGAAAGCTTTATCGTACTCCAAGATTGTCAGATTTCAATCCTGTGATGATATGGAGAATTTATGTATTCAGCTCTTCATGTCCGGTAGTCTTGTTACATACGAAAGACAGAAGTCTGATGCTCTTATCAGACACACTCATTTTCCATTAAGTGATTTCATACTTCTACTGTGAATATAAGCTCTGAGATGTAATTGTGACGACCAGCTGGGCATACAAATAACAGATGGACTAGTTGCGGAATCTAACAACAGCGTCTTCAAACCAAACAGCTACTGGAAGCTGATTTAACATTTCATCGCACATGAGAGGTTTGCGAAAGATATGACGATATATTACTACCTCTGCTGAATCCAAGGTGTTATTTCATTAATCTAATCATACACTGCGAGAGGAATAGACTGTTGCTCACAAATCTTCAAGTTATAGTGGTATGGGTGAATGTCCCTCATTTGGTCAGTTACATCTACGTAGTAACTGTTGTCACCCTAACTAAATCCTGAGAGTGGTTACCTCGAGGCCAAAATTAAGAGTTTGGTCACCACATGCTTTCAGGAGGGATAAAATTAGAGAAAGCCAGTCTGCGAGCAAAAGACTAACTTACATAAGGTTTATTAGTGTGAAATATTCCCATATCATGAATTAAAAGTCATTCTGAACGACGAATATTCTTTTCATTAATTTCTCTTCAGGTTCTTACAATTATAAAATATGAAATATTTGTTGTCATTACAATAATGGTCAGTTATGCGGTGGATACATTTTTTAACGTAGAATAACAGATTATTTATCGTAGGGTGTCAAAATAAATAGTCGTATTTGTGTGACAAACGTGCTAGGCTGAAATCGACTACAAAATGTTGTGAAATGGGAGACAGTGGTGGTGATTAGTCATAATAGATTCGTAGAATGTGGGTAGGAAAAATTTAATAATTCCCAATATAGCATTAAGAACACAATATTCAGCGAAGAGACTCTTTTCAACGAATTTATTATCAAGCTGTACAATCGTATATATATGGTTTTTATAAAAATTATATCCGGTGAGGGAATTAGGTCAAAGGTGTGAATACATGAAATAATAATAGTATGAAATGCAATTAAAATATTTGTGATTATAATCATAGTTTAATGTCAAGTGGCAAAATAATTAATAATAAATAATAATGTGGAGCAAGGTACATTGGCCGTAGTCAGAGGACGCTTTCCACACGGATACGAGAACATATTCCAGCATGGTTTTACAAGGGAGAAAGAAAGTATGTGCGAAGCTGCATTTTGGAACACCTGATCGACTTCTGTCACTCTGTCAACCCTGACCATGATTTTAAGATCATATATAGAATCCATGTTAACTTCCCGCGTTTTATTCGTTACAGACTTCTAAAGACAGCTGAGGCCATGGCAATTCATGACTTTAAGCCAGACCTTTCTGTACAAAAGAAGTATGTACAATCCCTACTTCTGCCTTGGCCGTAGAGGGATAGACATTTATTTATTTTGTTTATTTAGTTATTCTATATACTTTTCCCTTATTACTACGATTATTATTATTATTACTATTCTCAATCTGAATCTTTTCCACTTGACCCACTTGACATTTTAAACCCAAAATTATTAATTTTTATATTTTTATTTTCACAATATTGAATTCTGTCTTATCAAATTTCACACCATGTTATGTAACATTTTATATTCGTCTACTAATCTTATAATTATGTACCCCTTTCCAAAATCTATACACCTTATGTATTATTCAATTATTGGTTTGTAGGGATTTGGTTGATTGGTTACAGGATTTTCATCATGAGCTGACATTAGTTAGAGAACCATTGGAAAACCTGGGAGTACTGGACAGCTGTTTTGTCCTAGTTTAGGACTCTTCCTCAGCACGCACCCATCGGGATTCGAACCCAGAACCTTCTGGTTTACAAGGCGAGCACGTATGCCATTAAGCCACTGGGACCCGATCTATTATTCTATATACGACATTAATTATTTTGCCACTTGACATTAAACTATGATTATAATCACAAATATTTTAATTGCATTTCATACTATTATTATTTCATGTATTCACACCTTTGACCTAATTCCCTCACCGGATATAATTTTTATAAAAACCATATATATACGATTGTACAGCTTGATAATAAATTCGTTGAAAAGAGTCTCTTCGCTGAATATTGTGTTCTTAATGCTATATTGGGAATTATTAAATTTTTCCTACCCACATTCTACGAATCTATTATGACTAATCACCACCACTGTCTCCCATTTCACAACATTTTGTAGTCGATTTCAGCCTAGCACGTTTGTCACACAAATACGACTATTTATTTTGACACCCTACGATAAATAATCTGTTATTCTACGTAAAAAATGTATCCACCGCATAACTGACCATTATTGTAATGACAACAAATATTTCATATTTTATAATTGTAAGAACCTGAAGAGAAATTAATGAAAAGAATATTCGTCGTTCAGATTGACAAACTTATATTCCTAAAAAGACGAAAAATTCCGTATGTATAAATGTAACCTCTTAGATTAACTTTTAATAAACTCAAAGACGATAGAATGCTTCAGCAAGTTATTAGCTCACCATGGGAAACTCGTATATGAATAGTAGTAAAACAGTACTGAGCAACATCAAGAATTTGTGGTGACTTCGGTATTACCGTTCATCCTAGATGGCATATATGTGCCATAACGGTAGAGATCCAGAGGGCTTAAACATTTCATCAGTTGGCAATAAAAATCTCATCTAAGACTGACCTATCGAATGCCTTTCTTTAGATGCCACTGGGCGAATAATATAAATCTTTAATCGTCATAATAACACTGTGAGGATTATTTCAGTAGAATTTCGTGCTCTTCAATTTAAAATTTTCTCCTGGTATGTATGTGGAGAGTGGAAATATGATTTTGTATAGTTTTTGTTAAAAGTTAAAAATAACATTCCTTCGATTGGACACTAGTAACTAGTGTGATGTGTCTAGTCCTTTCTTTGGTGCAGACTGAATTCTATCAGTCAGGTTTGCAATGTGACCACCATTCTAGTTAGCTTGCCATCACATTGATTTGATGATATTAGATGGTTGGAGGCAATCGGCAGGAAGCCTTGGACACACCTAGGTTTCGTGCTAGTTGTCACTCGCTAGTCAGCAATGCGTATCTGTAACCTTGAAGGAACTCATGTCCCTTCTGAGATTCGAACCCACGTCACCCAGTGAGAACTGCAGTCAGAGACGTTACCACTGAGCTATTCCTTCCTCTAAGAACACTGTGCTTATCTCTTGTTTGTTTACCTATCCTATACATTTTGTGGGAACGCAATTTTTATGTGACTTACTTGAAATGCGCCCACGTTCCCTTTCCTTATGGATGTCTGCTTTTTAAAATCAAGCTTCGACTGCGTTTTGGCAGTTAACTAGATTGCACAAATATTTATATGGCCTACTGATCACCAAGCATTACCTTTCCTACTTAATCTCACTAAAACTGTCACGAAGTACACTGCAATCAAGTTAATGGCAAACTCTAAGTGTCTACGATTGTGATATCAAATATCAAGTTGGCAAACGAATTCCACAAGCAGATTTCTTGTACAGAAGCGCTAAATTACAAAAAAGTGACGAGGAAAATAATAACTATTCATTGCTCATCCATCTATTCCTTGTATCCCGTCCAAACTTAATTGGAGAAAAGAAGAATTGCTCTGGTGAAATTCTGAAAACTTTTGAAAAGGACTGGAACAAATGAACATGTATGTGATTTGCTGAAATTCATCAAGAATGGAGTGAAGTGTCCAAAATCTTATTTAGGCTACCCTGAGTAAATTATTGGATTTGAATATCGCTAACATCACACCAACTGGTTTCGGGCGATTTCAGTTAAAAGGATATTTTGGTATAGAGAAGTTGAAATCACAACAGCGATTAATATGTTAGTGAAAGTTAAAAAACAGCTATCCAGTAGCGTGAACACACCAGTGACCTTAAACACATACTATTCTTTGGATAATGGTATCCACCATTGTTATAGCAGCACTATTGAAGGCAGTGCATGAAGTGAGGTGCGGCTATAATCCCGATCTCGTTTTTATGCAGTTTGGATTGGTTGGGTTGATAGCTCATCATGGTTACGGTTGAGTTTATGAATAGGGTTAGATTTAAGGTTAGGATTAGGGTGTTTTATTTCAAAATTCTACGACAGAAGGAAGCGTAGTGGGGAGAGGGAGAATAAGTGTAAAGAAAATATTTACTGACTGTATATGTCCAGTGACAATCTCAGTGTTGAAAAGTTGTATAATCCTTGCTCAACAATGAAATTATGTTATGTTAAGAAGATAAACTGGCTTTAGGTAACACCATCTGTCGTTCTTCTAAATCTTTACGTTGTAAATACCGCCGGATATGAAGTAAAATTACCAAGTACTATAAGAAACCGAATATCTATGTTAGATTCTGTCCCTTTCATTGATGCTCCGAAATTTATCAGTCAGGAGTGAAGTTAGGAACCGCGTCAAACTGTCCATTTGTGATATAACAAGAAATATGGCTAAGTAACCAAAGAATGACGACCAGTGTAACTTTCTTTTCATAGGTGGTATTCGAAATGCATTTCTTATTTTAGTACTCCACAGTCACTAGTAGTTCGCGGCGTATCTTGTGCTTTGTTTGGTCAGTATTAGTGCCCACCTACAACACAAAATTCCTAAGTCTGCGAAATCCCCTACTTTTCCTCTATTACTTTCATAATCTTGTAGATTAGGATCAATGTCATATACTGTTTAGCTAAGCGATAAACTTTTGTACACGAATAATAATAATAAAGTAGAAAACTTACCTCTATCGTTTCTGAATTCTTCTGCCATTCACACCATGACTTATTCGGAGGGAAATAATGGCCATCCACAATACCACCTTTCAAAAACAACTTCACACTTTCTCTATAACTCTCTTCACTGTTGAACAAGGAACTCGGAGTTAAACAGTCATCTCGATTCGGCTCATAGAATAAAAATATTATTGCATGTATAACATCTTTAATCCTATAACATCTGCCAAAACATCAATGTCAATTACAAGTTGAAATAGAGTCAAACCTCTCCCATGAGTACAACAAATTAACGCAAACATTTTCCATTGAATATTGGTAGTCAATATTAGGATGAATTATTGGTGTGTAACATTTCACTGAAGGTGATGCGTTTGGATAGTTCCGAGTAACAGTTATCTAAATAGTAATTGTAAATATTGATTCAGATGATTGTATTTATACAGAAACTTACAGAGAATTCAAATGATGCATGTTCGTATAATCCTTTATTTGGAGTGACAGTAAAGTAAATCATATAAGGCTGTGTTTCATCTGGAATATGTAATTTCACTTGTCCACTGAATTCTTCATCACAAACAGAAATTAAATCATGAATCTCTTTCAAAAGCAACCGATAATTCATGCTGTAATGATGTTTCAAATGTGTATGCGTAATTATTGACCATAAAGTTTTAGTTAGTGTAGTTTATCTATTCTTCTTTCCAATTATTTCAACTAAAGTGTTGGTGTTAATATGTATGGATTTATTGATCGATTAGACAAAATGCAAGTCACGTGATTAACCTGAATTTGATTGGATAATTCACAACCAATCAAAAATTTACAACTAGGTCCTCTTTATTTACAGAAGCATATTCACCGAGGTACGTGTTGTTTATCCTCTGCTAAATTTCAAGCTTCAAAATTAATACATGTTTTGATGAGATGTTTCTTGAATTCATTATTATTATTATTATTATCACAGTGAAAGTAACAATTACAAAAGTACCTTGTATTGATTTTTTCTTAAGAGAATATATATGATAATTGAAATTCTCTCCAATATCTCTCACAAAACGTGAGAAATAGTTACCAGTGTATTCTGAATGTTATAATAGTTCAATGAAATATTTTCGTGCAACCACTTTCCCACAATGAATTTTATTGATCATGTAAGAGACAACTTCTATTTCATTATAATTAGTTATGTCGTTATGTATGATGAAACAACAACGGACAAATTGAAACAGAAACTAATGTTTATAAACTACTTTCTGAATATTTTCAGAAATAAGTATTCAAACAGTAAGATAAATAAGTGTATTTGTGAAGTTGTAATCTTCACCCCATATTTCACTTTCATTTCATGTGGGCTTTAGGGTATTCGATAAATGTATTTAAAAGGTTTGTTCGTTGGGGAATCAATAAAATCCACAATTGGACGTAATGGAACTTCTGGTTTGTGTATTCTCGATAATCTGTAAAATCTTCAGGGGGGGGGGGATGAAATATTTTGGAGCCCGAGTAAACCAAAGCGATCACCAGCGTCTCCGCTAGTCGCCAATCTGTTTATGTACTCATTATAAACAAATGCAATTATGAGATGCTCTAGTCCTCCAAAAATGTGGTTAAGATACGTGAATGATACCTTCGTCATAATCAGACTCAGTTTATTGAATGAACTTTTGCATTTAATAAACAATATCTCAGAAATCATCAAGTTTTCCAAATAGGTTGAATCCGACGTGAATGATTTGGTGTTTATGGACTGTTTAGTAAAAAGAAAACCATATGGAAAACTTAAAATAAACACTTACAGAAAGCCGCCAAATTCGGACAGATACCTAGACTACTATTCAGCACATCATTGTAACACCAAAGTAACTGTGGCCAAGAATCTGCTTAGTAGAGCCAAACGTTTAGTTACTGAATAGGAAGAGATTAGCAGGGAAATTGGTTTAATCCACAGTTGAATCAAATAATTATCCCAAAGCCTTCATAAAATGATATTTAAAATGTGAAGATAAGGGTGAATCGAAACCTGTTGCTAAGAGCTGCGTTACTACAGCGGTGATTCCTTAACGCAAAGAAACATCGGATGAGATAAAGCGAATCCATAACAATCATAACATAAGAGTGTATTTCCGGGGAACTAACACCTTACGCTCATCACTGGTGAAGGTTAAGGATAAAATGGAAGAAGACAACCAACAGAATTGTGTGTACCTGATCAACTGTGGGGACTGCGACACCGTATATGTAGGAGAAACTTCCAGACAGATAAATATAATAGTGAACGAGCATAAACAATGTCTAAAGTTGGTTTCAAGGACCTCTACCTACTTGAATAAGCTAGAAAAGAGATGGGCGATTGCACTGCGCTCGATAGAGACGGTACACAGGATCGACTTTGATAGAACTAAGATTCTACAGAATGGTTTCGGTTCGCATAAAGAAAGACTGACTGCAGAAGCTTAGCATATATGAGTGAATCGCAACAGTTTGGACAGACATGAAGGTGTGATGTTAGCTGATGCATGGCAATTCCTGATTAATAAATAAAAATGGATATGTATTACTAATTAATCATACTTGGTCTAAATTCCCGATTGTCTATATCTTCTCATGGAGAGGCTAACAAATGATTTACAACTGTTCACCCATACACACAAGACACACACACACAAGCAAACAAAACATTGTATGCCGCTTTCGCAAACATTGATCACAGTTGATCACAGTTCACACAATTTTGTTGATTATATTTTGATGCCTGTTTCATGACTCATGTGATTAGACAGAGTTTTTAAAAATAAGAGATGTCCTTTTTACAGATAAACCTCTGTTATTTTAATTTCGATTAATTTCCGTAAGAAGTTCGGACCAGTTTGCCGAACGAAACGTTAGAATAACTCATTTCAATTTCGCTGAAATTTTACAAATATAATTTTTACAAATGTAGCTTCTCATTCGATGCCCAATTATTTTGGAACTATTTGGTCACATCTTGATCACAATTTATATGAATCTTTTGAGTGGTTATCACTTTTCTTCGTGTTTAGGTTTCTTTTACTTAATACCGACAAGTAGTGTAAGTTTATTTTATGATTATCATTTTCCTGTTAACACAGTTGCGACTGAACTGCATGTCATATTTAATTCGGAAGACGAGTCCCAAATAGGACGAATTGCGCATCCTGGATTCCACTGCTAGTCACCATCTACCAATTAACTGCATGTCATATGTTAACATTATATGTTATCTGTAGTAATTCTCATTTTGTAATTGGGTTGTAACCTCATCCTAAGAAGCCTGGACAAAGAAGGAAATTTGGAAATGGTACCAACGACCTTAATTGAACAGAGAGTAATACAGATACACTGTTGATGCCTCATGCTCCCTTCAAAACCCAAGAAAATAATAGTTTAATAATAATATAACTGAATTTTACTTGATGTGCTTATTTTCCTTATGTTTCACTTACTTATGAACATTGATTCTTCGAATTCCTTGTTTCCTAGCTGTGCACATTCCAGCATGGTTCTCATTTCTGACCGTCGAGCATTTTTAACACCAGCCTGCTTTTATCTTTTTGGTGAACCGTGATAATACTTTTGGTTACAGTCAGCCTGGACACTTCACAGTGTAACATTTCTGATTTGTATTTATCATTTATATCTGTAACAAGGTACCGTATTTCAGAGAAAGCCTACGTTCTCAGTTTTATTCATAACTCAAGTGTTTGGTTTATCTCATCGAAAGCTCAAATGCTAATTATCATTCGAGATTTCTTGCAAGAAACTGTATCTCTGTGTACTACAACAAATCAGCGAAAAAATATCGACGATTGTTAAGGGCCTGAGACAAGCTGGCCATATGATTTTATGGTTACCGATCGAATTTCTAAATACAAGTGAGAATAATTGACACAATACAAAATCATCCTTCTTTACGAATTCAGATTGGAAATTTCGCTGATTTATGTCAAGGCTAAATAATTTGATGTTAGTCGATGAATTAATCACCACCGACAAATCCCCATCGTCAGGTATATAGATCGTGAATTGCATGGGTCGCTTGTATTACAGCTGTGCAAACTACGTATATTCGAACGAGAAGACCTAAGCAGACTGACGATGACTAACTAGTTGATTGTACTTGTTGCTACATTAGTTTAGTGATCATCCCTCGAGAAGATGAAGACATTTCGAAATACTACTCTCAAATTTGCAATTCAATATAAAATCCACTTGTAGCTCTGAGTAAAAACGTCTCCGGATGAAAGTTTGAATGATACGTACTCATTGTTTTTTGGGTTTATAATGAATACGAATTCGATATCGAAAGTGGTATACAGTTTCATTCAGTTAGCGAAGCTACTATCAGTCCTCAAACATTGCATAATAATGGTCGCTTCGACCTTAATGCTGACTGAATCCTAGTTCACGGTGCTAGGAGACTCACTATAGGGATAAATCCTGAGCTAACGTCGGATGTCTAGATCCTTGAGAAGAGCTTCCTGCTGACTGTCAATTGCCCTCCAACATCAGAGTAAAAAGTTCCAGACTTACTTTAAGAATATGTTTATGAAGTATTCCCTTGGCTGTACCACAAAACTTAAGGAAATGAAACCAAGCTATTTAAACCACTTCATTGAAAAGGAATATATCCTTACTTCGGGAATATACTTTGTTAATAATTTGAGAAAAAGCTGATTTGGATAGCTCTATTATAAGAATGAGTTTATCTGAAAAATGTAACGCATTTGCGCAATACATTTCTAGCAATCTGATCACGCACTTGTCATATTAATTTATACGAAAAATGAGAACAAGATAAAAAAGGATTTTAGAATGAGGACAGTGATTAACCCTACGCTTGGTAATGTAATCAGATAAGGATAATCAAGACGGGTTAAGGGTAACAGTAAACAGTTTTTGTACACAAAGGGGAGAATTAGTTTTACAGATGGCTATGGCCACAGCGTATTTCAGTGTGACCTCTAACTGTTTCTATAGGTAATCTGGGAAGCTGTTTTGATGTCAATCTTGTGATTCATATCAATTGTGTGTTAGGACTCTCGCCGACATGCACATGGTTCAAGGTTCGATCCCCCGCCGACGCACACCTGATATCTATGGTCGGCCTGCTAAATTTGGGCTACCGATATCACATGCGAAAATTCATACCTGTACCAAAATACGGTGTGGAATCAAGCTATATAAAAAAATTTTTGCTATAGATCGGAATGGAAATTTGTCACTTGTGTTTATAGAGATTTAGAGGTTCAGTTATTTTCCAAGCCACTTGTATATATATTCTGCCACCCTTACGTACAAAGTGCCATTGTCCTTCCCTTTGAATGTGTGTTCACAAACACAGATGTAAATTAATATACAACATAGGATGTGACATAAGCACTTGTGCAGTTTTGAGGTTTGTGCTCTTGACTTTTTTGACAATTATTAGCTGGGCTGCGTAGCAAGCTTTACAGATCATGGAATATAGTTTCTGTCTTAAAATCCTACTATTTGTTTCCCCACTGTAAGGTAATTTGATATAGACATCTTTCTTTCGGTCAGAATAGACCTTAGGCTTCGGAACTAACTGCCCTCTACATCGATTCAGAGATCTTCAGAGGATATCCATCTTCAATAATAATAATAATAAAGCTTTATTTCAGACAGTATGCGAACATATGGTACAACAATTTTCAGCGTATTTATTTCCAAATTACTTTTCTCTTCATACACGATTTACACGTAAAGTAATAATCTGAAGTATATCTTCATTTCATTGAAGAATTGCACATCGTTCACTTGAAAGCAAGTTAAATCAGTTCGCAAGTTCATGTATTGGTCATTTTGATATAACTGGACGATTAAAACAACGATAAATCCAGAAGAAATTAAGCATTTCAGTCGAAAGCAATTTCGGTAGCCCAGTGATTCCAGCAGGCCACCTAATACAGTAACAAGAAAATCTACCAAGATTTCATTCTCATGATTTGTAGCGCCAGTGGTACAAATAGGCTAAATCACCTTAAATAAACTGTCAGTGTTGGTGAACATTCGATCGTTTGTTTATTCCAGTTGGTCTTCATTCGGCGGGAGACAAGATCACTATCGTTTCTTAATCGTATACTGGTTGGCAGAGGACTAGAAAAATACGACTAGAAGTATTATTGTAAATTATATTAACGTTTATTTACAGATTTTACTGATAGTAACTTATAAATCTGTTTCGTTATCAATGGAAGAATAAACAATCGTGTTACGCTGCCGTTTTCTGTTATTCCGCGTCGGTTACTGTGCATAGTATTCTGTATGTTAGGTATAGTCTTCTGAAACCGGTGATAAGTCTAGGATCTTATCGATCTTGACGATTAACATAAACACTTAACCAAGCCTCACTTATATTGTAATGAACAGAAAATATGAAAATCTAAAGACTACCCTGTCCAAGTAGGCTTTCTGCAAATCAATGGTTTTATACAGCCATCATCTCTTCAACTTAAAAATATGTCTAGGAATGAGAGTTGGTAGCAACTTTCTTCCTGACTGTTTTCTCAAAACATTTACTGAGGATTTAGTGCTCGGCATCAAAGCACAAACTGTGAAGGAAATTTTTTTCATCAAGAAAAATCCCAACAACATGTTCACAACTATCAGTTAAACAACTACCAAACATAAAAATGCGATAAATCTCTTGGTCTCCCAAGTAGAATATTCATGTAAAAGATTTAGGCATTTGTTTAAAAACAAATAACAAAATTTCTATGAAATGTTTGTGAAAAATCCAATCTTCAATCTACCAAAAGCTATTTTATCCATATGTCTAAAATCCAATATGTACAAATTATAATGTTCGTAGTATGTCAAATAACAAAAATCTGAGATCTCCCAGTAGACTTTATCATAGAAATTAAGTTAATAGTGTATAAAGTTAATTAGTCTAGACATCAAGTAGAACAATTTTGTTGTAATTTCATATTGCTTTAAAAAAATCCTTGTTAATCATTTAAATTTCTCTGTCATTTGCTTTTCTCTTCTATGTCCTTAATATTTATGATTCAAATGAGACAATAATATACAGTAATATAAATATGAAACCGAAAGGAAAGAAGTAAGTCACTGGATTCCCAGAAATACCCATCATACTTTATTTTATTTCATATATTGTGAAAGTTTAGTTCAATGGAATATCCTACCTGGATAGTGAAAGAACACTACATTAGTATTCGTGACGCTGCACAACATTCACTGATGTAGAACGCACCCACCGGGGTTCGAACCCACGACCTTCTGAATACATGGCGAGCTCGTAAACCATTACACCACTGGGATTCGATCCAGTGGCCTATGAATTCCAACTTCTGCCAATTCATGATATAGCGCTTAATGCTCTACGAGCTCACCTTGTAGCCAGAAGGTCCTGGCTTCGAATCCAGGTGGGTGCATACTGTTTAAGAGTCCCAAACTAGGAAGAAACGGCTGTCCAGTACTTCCTGGTGGTTTTCCAATTGTTCTCTAACCGATGTCAGCTCATCTTGAAATCCTGTAACCAATCAATCAAATCCCTACAAACTAATACTTGAATTCAATGACGTAATTTACTATGTGATAAGTAATCTACAAGTGGTACTCTACACTGCTTAAAAATCCACCGTAAGCTCACTGGAAATTTGCATTCGCTGCAACCTGTTTAATGAAAGATGGTTATTGCCCTTAAAAAACCACCTAATCAAATGGATCCAGTTGTTAATGAATCATGAATTTTCTTTTGAAGAGTTGTTAAGTCAAACTGACTGGTCGCAATGGTGTGGAGATTGTCACGTTTACAATCCTTAGCAGTGATACTGACTAAATTCTGTCAGCCAAGCTTGTAACGTGATCAGCAGGCTAGAGGACTCACCATCACGGAACATTTTGAATTTATGTTTGGGGTTTGGAGGTAATTAGCAGGAAGCTATTGACCTATATTTCGTGCTATTTTGCACTCGTCAGCTAGGTATGTCTGCACTCCTGAAAGAAATGATGCTTCCTCACAGATTGTAAACGCCTTCCTGATAAGTACTGATATACGTGAAACTAATGTACAGTGCTTCTATTCGATTGCCACCAACCTCCTAACATCAATGTTAAGTTACATACAACATACGAATCAGCCGTGTATCAATCGTACAATTACATTTAAGGTGTTAAATTTTATCGCGCGAATAGATAGGAAATTAATCATCCTTCAGCTGTTCATAGACAAATTATTGGTCAGTCAGTAGCAGCGTAATTCGAACGTTTGATGATTTAATGTAGATTAAGAAATAGAGGTTTTGCATCAGTGCTTCAATCGTAGAAAGCTCTTCACCCATGCTGGGGGTCGTGGTTCGATTCTCCGCCGATGTACACCTAAACCGCCTAGTTTACCAGGTGACAGTAAGTCCACAAAATTGGAGAGTTGACCAGGAAACCCGCAACCCCCCTCCTTAAAAAAACTACTAAGACTCCATACTGGCCGAAACGATAAGTGACAAGGAACTCTAACAGCTAATTAGCCAAGAACAAACACGCAGAAGGCAATGAACATGGATTAGACATACACTAAGGAAACCTCCAAATGAAATCACAATCCAGGTAGATTGCAGAGTAAAACGCAAATAGGAAGCGACGGGTTGTACATCAGATAGTGAAATGAAGAAGATCATACTAAGGGAAAATAAAATTTTATGAACAGTTGTGGAGCTAGCTGAAAGTGATCGTATATAACTGAGTACACCGGAGATGTTCCCCTAAAACCTCATGTTCCACTCGGAACTCATGGGATGAATAAAAACAATCATAAGGATAATACTAATTCAGTACAATCACAACTCTCAACAGACGCTCTTATTAACCAATATTTATACAGATGTGATTAGGTTTCAAACTTCTTTGAATTTCTTAAATGTGTCTGCTTTAAAAGCTTCCATAACTTGTTACCGTTTTGCAAAGCAATAACAAAAATAAAACAGTTTATAAGAGAAGCTTTTAGGTTGTTTAATTTTTACTTCTAGGGTAGTCAGACATCCTCATGTATCAGTAAAATGTTACATTTATTCATGTTAACAAAACACTAGATACAACAATAATAATTTACACGTCATCAATCTTTACATTTCTCTTTTAAGCATAGAAAGAGCAGGAAGAAGATGGATGTCTATTTTTGTTAAAAAAATTTTTTTCACAGTAAAATGAGAAACAATCTTTACCACTAAACCATTTTTGCAAAAATGACTGAAAACGTTAAGGCTTTATTTATTTATTTATATCAAGGGAATTTATTTTTCCACAAGAAATTTATATTTAAAAATTTCATGCAAATCAGGTAAAGACAAAATTATACACAATTACGCATAGTAATTGATGGGAGAAGTGAATATATCTACTACTAACAAGTAGTGTATCAAATATAACAAAAAAACTGTTGCATACAAACCTACATACATACATACACCCACACATGGTGACATACGTCGGAATAAAATTACTAAATCACTGATACTGTTGGTTAAATACTGTTTTAGTTTATAGAAAAAGACATCTGTCACCTAATAATAAAAGCCTACAGATCTGTTCCAGTTACTCCTCTTTTTTTGGTATTATCACGAAATTACATAATCTTGTTTCTGAAGAAATCATACTATACAAGAAAAGTAAAAAAGACAAAAAGATTGTTTCTTTTCTTTTTTCTCTCCTGTGAAATCAACACTTTAAATGTGTGTAGATTTCAGCCACATACGGTTCAATGTTCAACAGTTAGTTACACAACTTTTATTCAAACAAATATCTTTCAGTGTAAATACAAATGGGTATAAAAACTTCTCTGAGATGTTATTTCAATGACATCTTGTCTACAATCACTGTACAACATGTTACATAATATTTTTTCTTTCTTATCGAAATGTCAGATACATATTCGAAATTATCTTTTCTTTTTTTATAGTTTGGCAGATGCATAAGTGTGCATAGACTATATAAAAAAACAAAAAAACAAAAGAAGGACAAAGAAGGATGTTTTAACTCTTCATTAGAATCTGGCGTCTAGTTCTGATGTTGTATACTTGTTTGATTTAAATCTGTATTTGTATTCACAGTTTGATTATTTTTTGTACTGTTTATTGTATTTGTTATTTGTCCAGATTTTAGCTGAGAATCAAAACATGTAATGAGCATAATATGAGATTTACAGGCGTCAACACGTTTACGTAAAATTTCAGTTTCTTTTTCTAGCGCTTCTAAAAAGCTTGGATCATCAGGATCCATTTGTTCAGCAACATAAACTATTAATAGACACCAAAAAAAAAAAAAAAAGAACATTTAATTGACTAAATTATGCTATTCATGCATTGCAAAAATTGAAATAAGTAAGTGAATAAATGATTGTCAAATAGTAGTTCAAGCTATGGTAAGTCTTTATGAATAAATAAAATGGATCTATTTTGAGATGAACTCGTAGACCAATCAGCCGCTTGGACCCGCGAATTCCAAAATCTGCCATTTCGCGACATATACCGCGAGTGTCAGCCAATGTTATAAACGCGTAACTATTCCCTTACTTCACTTGGTCTCTGAGCTTGCCTTGTAACCAGAAGATCCTGGATTCGAACACCACTGGGTGCTTACTGATGAAGAGTCCCAAACTAGAACGAAACAGCTGTTCAATACTCCCTGGTTTCGAATAATTCTCTAATTGACAACATCGGTGGCACAGCGGTTACGACTCTCGCCGACCATGCACATGGTCCGAGGTTCGATCCCCTGCCGACGCACACCTGATATCTATGGTCGGCCTGCAAAATTTGGGCTACCGATATCCATGCTGAAAATTCCATACCTGTACGAAAAATACGGTGTGGAATCAAGCTGTAATAGAAAAAAACTTGAAACAAATCAAATGTCTACAAACTAACTTAAGCAAATTATGCAATTGTTAACAATTCACAACTATAACTCACGATCAAAGCTCCAAGTAGACGGATCAATAAGAAGACGATCCTTAGCTGTCATTAATTCCATTTTCAGCATATCTTGTTGTGCTAGTAGATCATAAGTTTTTTCATAACGTATTTGACGTTCCATTTCCTTTATAAAATTGGTAAACAAGACAGAAAAAAAACAAAAAACAATAAAGACTTGACAATACCAACAAACTACAGAATTAAAAAAATATATGGGGAAAAGAAAAATGCTAATTACAAATGAAATGAAATTAAATCCTTTTTAATTATTTTCAAATATCAATAAAAGTGTGAGGCGATAATGTGTGAAGTCCTTTGTTGTTGTTCTTCTTCTTCGCCTTATCATTGCAAATTCATTCCTACAATCCCCCAGCCAATTTTCACCCTTAAATTTTCTCTAACCAAAATCCTTGACATTATTTAGTAGAGAGAGAGGGAAAGAGAACGGAAAACTGTAATAGAAACAGAGAGAGAGGGGAGGGGATGAAAGGACAGAAGAGTTTGACAACTATAGAGCGAGATAGCGAGAGAGAGTGAGTGATTTTCTCAGTGAATTCAAGAGAGAAGAAAGTAATCAAATGTTATAGATAATGATTCTATAGTTGGAAAATTCATTTTGTTGTTCTTCAGATGGCACTGTTTACATACATTGGAAGCAAGTGAGAAGTTATGCAGAATAGAATGTATGCACAGAGTGTAATCATGTGTGCGTATAACTCTGTGAATAAGTATTGATATATATTTGTATGATGGATGACTGAATCACTGTGAGCTGTTTAATTAAAATAAGGCTGAACCGTTTTTTTAAAAAAAACAGCTGAATAATCAAATCTATTCACTGGTGCATATTTAATACAAGGATTAATGTCTAACCTGATGATCTTTGTGGAAAGAAATTCGAGGATAGAATTTAATATAATATTAGATTAGAAATGAAACTCAGTAGGAAGTGATACATTGTAACTATTCAGCAGAAAAAAAAACTATTCACCGTCTAACTGAGACTTAAAGATCTGTACTTTACTTATTTTGCATTATGCATTTTTTAATCATCAAAGAAAACAGTTCCTTTATGAAAAGAAACAAATCAAAGGTAATTTTATCAATAACTATCAAATATACAATATACTGAGAAATAAAATAGAAATTCTATGGTGTTGTTATGTTCTCTGAGCTGAATGGTTTGATTGTTAGACAACATCTTCAGCACCAACTTCCATATGAAGTCCTACTGAAAATCCACCTGAGTTGCTATTATTCTTAATTAAATTCAAAATAGAAATATCACAGTGTGACATAAGTACAGATAAGGGATTTTTCCAAGATTATTTTGGTGGGATTTGATTTGTCACAGGCAAGGTCACGAGCTGATATCAGTTAGAAAACTACTGGAAAGCCAGAGAGTACTGGACAGCTGTTTAATTCTAGTTTGGGTCTCTTCAGCGGTATTCAGTCATCGGAGTTCAAACCTAAGACCTTCCGGTTACAATGTGACCCCCTGGACCAATCAGTCAATGGGACACGATCCGGTGAACCATAAATTCCACCTTTTGCCAATTCGCGATGTATATATATATGCACGTAGCGCAAGACGAAGGATGATTAGTCAACCGGGTGATGGTTACCTTTAAGAATCGTTAGTGTACAGGAAGACACTGGGAATTTGTGTTAGATCAACATATTAAATTTGCTGTCAAGAGTTTGCTACTTGTAAAGTGTCTAAATTGCCTACTCAAGTTTAGTAAAACGAAGAAACGTTTACAGGATTTACCTTCGAAATTAAGAAAGAGATATTTCAGAAAAGTGAACATTGAAATATCTAACCAAAACCATACAAATTGTTGAAATAAATGACTCCTAAAATCTAGAGGCTAAAAAAATACCTTCAGTTTTTTAGCCATGCTACAGTCCTTTGTCTATTTACTACTATTTAAATGTTCATTATTATGTTCTCATTTATTGCAAATACGTTGTAATAATAGTTCGAATGACTATTAATTATCTACCGTCTACTTGGTAGGATAATTCGATTCGAGAAAGTCTCATTCCTGCTGGCTGCAGTGTATTTAAGTACTACGATTTTATTTGCTGGAAATAGTCAGATCATGAGAATACAAAATGAGAGCTTTGGATACTGTCGTGGAACCATTGGAAAAGACAATCAGAAACCTGAGTGCTATGGAGATGCACCGCTGAGCTTCTTTTTACATTCTGAACTCAAGGAATGACTAACAATGCAATATAATACGTCACTAGTTGATTTTCTATAACATTCATCAATTGGACAAATAATTTTATCTCATGTATCTGGCTTCTTAGTAAAGTATTTTACAAATCTTAAAAAAGATGCTACTAAATGTTTTTCTTTCAAATCCTTATTGTGAGAGAATTCAGGCAGATAGAAAAAACATCAAATGAACAACCCTGTTTTTCTTAAAGAATGCATTTATTTTGAGAAAAAACCTACTTGAACTTCTTCTAAATACATCGGGAGAATGCAGGATACATTTGAAGAATTTTCTGGAAGTGAGGATTTCATATTTGTAGACAGTTTGGATGAAGCATTATCATTTTGTTTAGTTGCAACATATCTTACACTAATTGGACTACTTGTTGTTTCTTCAGATGTATCTTCTGAACAAGGGGGAGCTGACCGACTTCTATGTGAGGTAGAAGAGGATGATGAAAGGGCTAAAGAGGAAAACAAAATAAAATAACAAAGAAAACGATTAGACAATAGATTAGTGACTACAGTGTATAGCCGTTCTACTCTTTGGGCTTCAGTTTTCTATTCGCATATTTTATCATTTTAAACAAAATAATCAAGTTATCATAATAGAAAAAAATGCCTTACCCGCATTTAAAACGCTTTACATTTAAGCGTGCTTTAACTGATGTCCTAACTTTACGTGTTTACTTGAGTATCCATAAGAGCGACAGTAAGTGCAATACGGTGCACCAGGGAATTAGCATACATTCTATGTAGCAAAAGTTTGTAGTAGTCGGAGGTTTGACTTTCTGAAATTGCATCAATCATAAGTCTGTCATAGGTGTTTCTTTTCTCTGATTCGACAGTAGGTAGTAGCTAATGTCATACGATTAGTCCTTTGTTTGGTGCAGACTTAATAGTATCAGTCAAGCTTGCAGTGTGTCCACCATGCTAGGTGGATTGTCATCACAGTGTACTCTGAACTGTTGTTATTAAATGGTTGGTGCCCAAATAGCTTGGCGGTAACGCTTCTGGCTAAAGCACTGGGTGACACAGGTTCGAATCTCAGAATGGGTATGAGTTCCTTCAAGATACACATTCCTGACGATTGCCAACTAGCACGAAACCTAGGTCTAAGGTCTCCTGACGATTTCCTCCAACCACCTACCAACAATACTTCTTTCCACATAGTCTAACGTTCAATAATGCCTTCCTTAGTAGTCATTTTGTTATTACTTTGCATCAGTTTATGGTTGGTTATATAGTTCGTCTCATTATCCTTAGCCTTAGAATACCTTTAGTTTTGGGTCATTGCATACATCTTTGTTCTATGTGATGGATAGTTTATTGTCAGGTTGGAACTGAAAATGTTGTCTTCACCTGTCAACCCTGTTATGCTACTTGAGGACCATATGATAAAAAGCACTTCGCACAACGTACACTGTCTATCCATTGATTACACTTTGATAGGATTTGATTGTTATTCATCGACTACACTTTGATTGGACGCAATTAATACACTAAGTGTGAACTGCTCGAAAGACTGCACTTTACTTAAATCACTACTTTAGATAATAGAGTGTAATGTCTAGCAAACTATAGGTAGCAATAAGTCAGTTTATTGTATTCCTACAGCTTAACTCTGAATTTCTCTTAAGATGTTAGACATGATGCCCAGATTCCGCATGATGATTAAACTATTATCCCACGAAACATGATTTTTTCCCTTAGTAATTCTCATATACTAATCTCAGTCTGAAAATATGACGACTGTGGGATGGTATAAATATGTAAAAATCCCTTTCCGACTACCCGATGGAGTGATTGACATATCAGAGTGAAAATGCTTTTATAGAGATTTAGCTCAAGTTTACAAAAGATTAAACATGATAACTTACACTGAGATGTGACAGTTTTGGATGTAGCGCTTGATTTTGAATTTGCTGAATGTTGCTGGAAAGATTGTTTCGTTGGAGATTTTAGTTGAATGTGCTGGAACACCTGACATGAGGATTCATGATTATTTACAAGGGAGTCAGTTTTGGAAATAGTCATCGTCTGTACAGTTTGAAGGTTGGATTGGATTGTTTGATTATTATTATTATTCTGTATAGATTGTTCATTGTCTGTTTTTTCTTGACTGGAATAGTTAATAGTGCTAAGAGTTTGCATCACTTGTTGTGATTGGGATGATCTATCAGCCAATATCAAATTAGTTTGGTTAACTCTTTGACAGTGTTCACAATATCCTTGTTCGTTGGACTGCGTTTGAGATATAATGTTACTTTCTTTAACATCGGCAGTAACAACACCCGTACCTCCTGCAGAACTCCCACTGGTCGAGTCAGCATGAGAGGAAGCTTCGCTATCTCGAACAATACTTTCATAACCACTACTTGCATGACCTCCACCACGACGGGGACCAGACCCAGAAAGATGAGAACACGGAATACCTATCGATAATTTACTGGTTTCAAAGGAATCGAGAAGAACCTTTCCATCAGTAGAATTTTCATCATATTCCGTTGTTTCTCTGTTTGCACATTTCCTATGTCCTGTAGCCGAGGCACTACTCTCTGAACTTCGTTCACCATCGGCAGGTTTTCTTACTTCACTTACAGTTTCACATTTTCTGTCACTTCTGTGATCCGATCGACACACATGTGTAGATGTAATACAACGGTGACACCTCTGACCATTTCCTGAATGATAGTGATGCTGATGTGCATGATGATGGTGATGTCTTTTGCATCTACATCGCAATGCTGTATTTGGTTCTGCTTTTGAATGCCAAGCAATACTTTTTTCTGTGAATAAACTACTACTACATTCACTGCCGTGTCCACTACTTGACTGTAGAGAGGAGTTTTTTGTAGGAGTTGTTGCTGTATTAAATGAAACTGGAATATTGCTCACATGTGTACTAGGCGAAAATGCATTCTTATCTTCACTATGTTGTTTTTCTAGTGATGTGTGTTTAGAAGTAGGTTTATCCCTTCGGATACATCCTATGCGGGTTTGCGACTCAGATGTATCAAACTGAGAGGAATTATGTCTCTTTTGATGGCAGGAACTAAGATCCTTACTTTGTGTTTTGCGACGTGAATCACAATTTTTTGCCGATGAGTGACCATCACGCGGAGAATCAGGTACAGTCGCTGAAGTTTTACCTTTTTCTGGAGTATTGCCAGCTGTTTCCGATTGTTTCGTTTCTTTTTCTTTGCGCTTTCCAAACAATGGACTTGTCAAGAAGCTTAAGCGTCCCTTACTTGTCTGTGATAATAAAAAGGTAGATGTTGCTTTTAACAAACTGCAAACATATTGAAAATTAGAAAAAACTACAGTTGTTTCAAACTGTTCAACGACTCAAGTGTTTAATAATGAGGAAAGAGGTAGGAAGAATACTTAATTCCGATTAACGAATACCTCAGGACTGAAAAGGAAACTATAAAACAAACTGACGCAAAATCAATCAAAATTCTTGATAATTTGCAATTTAATATGCTTAACTCCACTACTAATGGGAGGATAAATATTTACACTTCAAATTATAAAATCTTTATGAGGTATACACCTGTGAGAAAGTTTATTTGTTTGCATAGAACCTTCGTTCTCACTATAGGCTTTCAGACGAGTTGTTCAACTACGAAAGTTTGCATTTAGAGAATAATGACTGAAAGAGTGAGACTGTGAGATAGAAATGCATCGGTAGATTGTTACTGATATAGTTGGCGGTAACTGAGGGTGAAATAAAAACCTAGATTGCTTCAGAATTTTAATTGCAAGCCCCTGAATTACCGTTTCGGCGGTTTACTATTCACACGAAAACCAAGCAGTTTATTTCGTGACTGCAGTGAATTGATGATATGCCTAATAGTTCGATTTGGAAATCTGCTGCATTCAGTATAAAGAACAAATTCAGGATTTTCAACACCAGTGTTAAGTCAGTTCTTCTATACGTGTCAAAAATTTCATATTTTCAACAGACTACAGACGTTTATCGGTGGCATAGCGGTTAGGACGCTCGCCGACTATGCATTTGGTCCGGAGTTCGATCCCCAGTCGACGCACTCCTTTACCTCGCTAAGCCAGAAATAAAGCTGGTGAGGAAAGGTTGGGCATGAGGCTAACAACCCCATCCTGTAAAATAAACACTGTTACAGAAACTTCAAGACTCTAGCTTGAAGCCCTATGTTCCACTGGGAACGTGAAGGAATAAAAAAACAGACGTTTATCAACAGTTCTTTTCTCTAGCTCCATAATGAAATTCAGATGGCCAGAAAGAATTAGAGACAAGAAACTACGGGGACCAACCAATCAGGAACGTATATGCTGAAGACAGAGAACAAGGTGAAATGAAAGTGTGTTGTTGAAGCCCTGTGTTCCACTCAGAACCGAAGGGAATAATAATATAAGATAGTTACAAGCTACTAGAGTGCACGGCTAGTAATTTACAGGTCACCGGCTCGAATCATACCGTCGACCAGGTTTTCACTTCACCTTGAAAGGAAAGTGTATTGTCAAATCATAGCTATTTGATACACTAAGTAAAATTAAATGAGCAATAAAATATCCATCTCTTTCAGAGATGAAGAGTCAAGGTAAATCTATCGATAATTTTTTTTGCTATACCTACAACCTACAATCGGAGCATCTAAATTAAGCGTTACAACAAAACGCATTAGGATAACATCATGTGGACAGATTAATCAATTTCTATCTGGAAAGTGAATAATAGAGATATTACGTAAATGAAAATCAAAATAATACAATGAATAGAATTACTAGTGCCATTATGATTTATCTCCATATAGAAGATAGACAGAGTAATCTAATTATGAAAAAGGAATTTAGACATCGAAAACAACTATGTGTGTAGACAAATGAATATATATTTACTACGTAGATGTAAGCATGCTAAAGTATTCACATAAAGAAATTAAGATAAGTGGGAAACAAATGGTGAATGATATCAATGTCATCTTTCCAACCATATCAATGATTTTCAGTCAAATTAATTAAGGTAGAACGTAAATGTAAAAGCAGGGTGATTCAGTAACATCTACATTTTGGTATACGTAAGCCTAATAAATCCTGACAGAAGATACACCAATGTTATCTCTGTGCACAAGTTACTTTGGGGATAAATTCTTGACTTAAGTTGATGATTTTATATTAGATAAAAGTATTTGATATAACACGCAGAAAGAGTATTAATAACTGGATGATGTTTAAAGCAGAATTTATCGCTCGTGAGCAATATCGTTTAGAAAGAAGGCAAAGTTCAGCATCAGGCACCCAAAAGACGCTAACACACACAGCAGTTGTGCGAAAAGATAAATTTGGTCCCTAACTCAACCTTAACCCTAATCTATCTCTAATCTAACCCTACTATAACCTTAATCAACTCTGATATCTTCTTAATTAGGTTAAACTAACCCTTCACAGTCCTTATCTCAAACCTAAACTTGATCTTTCCCTAGCCTAAAACTAACCTGATACCCTGTTAGTATAATTACACCTCATCCAAGACATTTTCATGAATGTAGAGTTATTTACCTGATTTCACTGGCTTGCTCTGGCTTAGCGTTTCAAGTCACGTTTGTCTTCACGCCTGTTGGGTATCTAAAGAACAATGCTGGTTCGATGGTCCATTTCAGGGAAAATCAGTCCATGTTTGTCTATCTCATTCAACATGCGTCAATGAAGTCTCTATGGTCAATAAATTTTAATTTTTATCCATCAATTTCATTGATAAAGTTCTCTAAAGTAAGTGTGTGTACTGACAACTTAATTATAAAAATGCATATGTGAGAGTGAATATCTAATTGATTAAAGTAAATCAATAACAGGACTGTGCTTACTTTTGTGCGAACTTCTTTAGGAGGTTTTTTACCCATTACACTTTGTAGTATACTGGATTTTGTGGTATTATCATCATTTTGAGCATAATCTATCACATTTGAAGGTTTTTGAGCTTTTGAACTATCTGTTAACTGTTCATTTCTACACACTGAGTGATCACTATCTGTTGATGAGCAGAAACTATGAGATCTGCGACATTTGGAAGATTTAGGCGAAGTACAAACTAATAAATGAGATTCTGAATCATGATGAGATTTATTTGACTTTTTCTTCGCTTCAGGTGAAAAACACTTTTTTCTTAATGGGGATGCAGTAATATGAGTAGTGGAATGCTGATTAGCTGTTGCCGAAGGTGAGGCGGAAACGTCAACAGGATAAGCTTTTGTGTTTGTACGAAGATGTGGTTTCTTTGTAGATGCCCAAAATCCTGTTGACTGGTTTGAGGGTTTTTCATTCAACGTGTAAGGAGTTTTCGTCTCTGATTTAGCCATTTCTTGAACGTCAGAGGCTCCTTGTGTTTCTCTGTGTAGGTGTGGGTTGGAAGATCCATCCGGACGTCTTGAAGGAGGGGTATCTCTGTCACTTTTTCTACCAGTGTTACATATTTCTTCCTTCACACAAAGTGGACCTGAAGAGATGGAAATCGGAAGTGGCGCAACTGTCTTTTCTGATGTAGTTGCTGATTCTTGTTTCAAATATCCATCACATATATCATGAACTTCAGTGAAACCACCCTCTTGAAGAGAACTCGGTGGCACAGACCTTCCTCGGCGGAGTTTATTGTTAATATTTCTGACACACTGTGGGCTTCGCATGACTGCATTTTCGTAATTGTGTACACCTGAACGATTCATGTGATGACGGTAAAGAGGTTTTTCTTCAGGGAAATTGTCGTCTTTTTCAAAGTGTTTATGACAAAAGCATTTTTGATTGTGGTTAAACAGATTATGATTGATGTTGTCATTCATGCATACATCATGGGGAAAATCGGGTTGTTGAAGCGCTGTACCAGAATCATTTGGTTTGTTCAAACTGGCCTCTTGAATATTACAAGTTTCCACAGACACTGATTTAACCCAAGCTGCTATCCTTGCAAAATTAGAAGAAGTTTGAAGTGAATTTGTGAATGGTGCATGACCAGTATTTGCGAATGAGGAATTACTGTCGCACTGATAATTTGGCAATTTTGAGCTACATTTATTCATGCATAATTTGTCTTCATGTTTCATGTGTTCCGTTCTGCCATGAAACCTATAAAATAAGATAACGTGTAGATACAAGAAGACCTTAGCATAGTGAGTAATTCAACCAAATGGTAAAACACCTTGTAATCAGTTGACGATTACGGAGAGTCTAACATAAATAAAACAAAAGTAAACTAATCATTATAAAAACCAAGCAAGTTCTGTTGTCATGAAATCTTTTCGAAAGGAGCTCTTAATTTCATTATTTACATTGTATGCTAAACACAGTAACTTCCATAAAAATAATTCAATACATACTGTCTTAGCGTAGTTACGAGTGATTACAGTTCAAGCAATAGATATTCTAACCCTTCTGTTGTCTTTCAATCTTCAGACTTTATCCATACATATTTTGGGGATAATCTAGTTGTAATTTTCAGTTCGCTTTCCTGGTGAAGATTCCAGCTTAAAAAGCAAACAAAAACCACGACAGTTTACCGATAGATACAAAAAGAACACAGTTAATAACTTAGAGAAATTTGAAGTCGTTCGGAATCTTATCAATGAAGTGAAATTGTTATTTTGACATTTTAATGAAAGCACGTAAAAATATAACACTACACAGCCCAACGCAGATCACCAGTATGACTGATAATTTCATGTACATAAATTCTACTTGATTTAATTATTACTTAAAGTTATATAAATGATCGGTTGGAGGGTTTCATCATGAGCTGACATCAGTTAGAGAATCATTGGAAAACTTGGAAGTACTGGACAGCTGTTTCGTCAACCTAGTTTGGAACTGTTCGCCAGTACTCACCCACCATTAGGTTTAGAACCCAGGACCTTCTGGTTACAAGGCTAGCGAGCTCGTAGACCATTAAGGCAATGGGACCCGATCCAATGGCCAGTCCATGAATTTTAACCTCTGGCAATTCATGACATAGCGCGACCACTTGGCAATGTCTTCTTCGATGAGTTACTGTCTTACCTTCAACCTGCTCTACCCTACTGGTTACGGCTTCCCGCTAGAACCCCACTAGAACCTTGATTCTATCTTGAATTAATGCATGTTACTGTTAATATTTGTTTAGAATACTACAATTACATTCAATTAATAAAATCTATTTTGGAATCGGTGCATCCTGCTATATAGTTGGGTTTTAGACATTTTATTTTCAGGGGAAAGAAAGGTGTATTTAAAGTTTTTATATCAGCCTTAAAAGGATAAATGTACATGAGGATATCTTGAGTAGGATAGAAATTGAAAGGTTTTTATTTTAATTCAGCAAATATTGTTGTGTGCCACTGGTAAAGAAAATAAATGTAAACACAACGTGTTTGATGCTGGCCTATACATCAACATAGTAATTACCGAATATGAATATCTATTAAAACACATAGATTAGCTTTATTTTAAAAGCTTTGAAACATCTTCATTACTGATATTAATTCACTCAGAGTTTGTTTCCGATCAAATGGTGTTTATAAGTTACGGAAATGTACAGATCACTGGAATTGTGCTCAACCTTGTTAATAATAAATTAATACTTTTTCACCGAATTCCTTCGAAGAACTATTGTATTTCAAGTTTGATCACGGAATGACATCGGTTAAAGAACCACTGAAAACCATAGAGTACTGAACAGCTGTTTCCTCCTAGTCTGATACTCTTCATCAGTTCACACTCACCGAGGCTCGGACTCAGCACCTTCCGGTTACAAGTCAAGCTGGCATACCATTTCGTCACTGAGACGCGATTCCTTGGCCCAAGAATTCTAACCTCTACCCATTCCTGAATTCAACGCGACTACCGGGGATTTGATATCTACAAAATAACCAGTGAAAATGAATCTGATGCCCAATAGTGACTGGCTGTGATGCGAAGCTGTCTGGAGTTGCAGTGAGAAGTCATGACCAGTGGGGTCTACTAGCTCGGGTGTAAGGACAAATACTCGTCGATGACACTGGCTGGTGGTCTCTCTGAAATCACGAATTAGCAGAAAGTTGAATTCACTGTGTGTGGTCCCAGTAGCTGAGTCGTCTGTGAGCTTGCCTATTACCCGGGAGGTCCTGGGTTCGAACCCCGATGGACGCGCACTGATAAAGAACCCCAAACTGTGAAGTTTTCATCACTCCTTGGTTTTCCAGTGGTTCTGTGTCTGAAATCAGTCCATGATCAGACCCGAAATAAATAAAATCTCCACAAATTAACTTTTGAGAACAAATATATGTGATGACTGCTTACATATTTTCTATTGGTAAAAATGTCCATGGACAAATGACCTTCAAATAAACTGATTTTAATTTATGTTAAATTTTTGACTATATATTTTGATGATTAACAAAAATCCGAATAAATCTGCTGAAGAAGCTGTGGCTTACACAGCGAAACGTTCAGAAAAATCTTGTTTTGATTTTCTTAACACGCTGGGATTAATTTAAATAATTTATAATGAATCAATCTGACTCGGCGCTCAAATTATTCCAGAAAGTTCGTATCACCTATGGCCTGCAAACCTATAATTTTGAGAACTATTTTAGGGAAAAATCGAACTGAATCTTACAATCATGTAACATCTCAGAGTAATAGAAACCAACTGGTACGAAGTAAATTCATAGTTCACTTTTGCATAATTTAGATTATCATGATTAGTACACTTAAATTAAAATGTGAAAATCAGAAAAAAGTCCACACTACTTTTCATTTCTGACTAGTAATCTATGAAAAAGCTTAGATGTCCGTTTTTACTTCTGACCACTTGGAATTGATAAGAACAAATGAGTAATAAGTGGTCTATTCATGAAGAATAATTCAGCTGTTATTGAATCAACTGCAATGACTTCCAATGGTTTTACTTCCAGAAAGCACAGTAGGTATTCGACAACAGAATCAACAAAGCATTGCACAATAGAGGATAAACTACATACCACTCATAAATTCTTACATCAATTAATAAAAAGTTACTAATAAAGTTTATCCCTAAGGAAAAAACTTACATATGATGTCTAAATTGTTGAGTCTCACTTCCTATTTCTCCAACAGTCATACTGATTGCGGTATTTGCCAAATTGCATAATTTACTTCCTCCAGGAATTTCGGTTTGATTATTTTGAATGTGAAGTTGATGCTGTTCGTTTATCTAACAACAGAAAGATATTAAAAAGTATGTAAATATTTACTACCGATTATATAGATCTGTGAGATCATAGTCGTATTAAAATCGGATCTCCTGTTTTTGATATTCACCGTACTAGACATATTATTATTCTTATTACATCACAGGTCCAGTCTTACATTTGTTTTTATCAAAGAGGTATGAATATGATAGTTATCAAAATAAATATTCCCATAAACATATGGTGTATGTTTTCATAGTGTGTTCACCTGCTGTTCAAAATAACACTTCTGGCTAATCTATATGCTAAAATATAAAATCTAACTTACTTTAGAGAAATCCCCATGAACACTGGAAGCAGCAGGTAAAGTACTGTGCTTCTGAATCCAATCCTTGACGAATGGTTTAACTCTAGCAACCGGAGCATTTGTATCACTGGGAATACCAGTCGTCATGAATGGTTTTGTAAGAGGAATTTCATTAGGCGGTTGTCTTACATTTGAATGTAGATTTGTTTGATAATTTGTATTTCTTAATGCGTTAGATATATGAGGAATTGAGTGCTTCCGATCTTCAAATTCTTTCTCTGTAGGAATATGACTAGGTGTCCAAGATTCTGTTGACTGTGGTTTGACAATAGAGGCACTGTTTCCAGCTGCTGTTATATTTGTTGTATCACCAGTTTCAACAGTTGAATTACTTTGATTCATAAGTGAACTAACCATAACACAAGTTGAACACTGACTACTGAGTGTAGCATCACCATTTTGTACATCTGAAAGAAAATACAATAGGCGAACAATTTATTTTACCCGGTAGATCAAACATTATGTTATCCTATTAGCACAAACTAAGTAGACAGATGTTAGGGAATAAAGCCTATGAATGGCTGTGACAAATGTATAACATGGTAAGCATGAAACATATTTTATTCTAATACAGCTCCTGTAAAATCTTAAGAAAAGAAAGTCGCATTCTATTCAGTGAACAGCGATGGCCCACATTTAATAAATCAAGGAAGAATGATTCGATATAAAAGCTGGGGTAGAGGAAAACCACACAGACTGTATCTTATCAAAACACTAAATTCTCCTAGTTATAGAGGTCAGGTATCAATATTATCTAGACCTTAATAGGAAATCGATAGTATCGTCTCTCGGGTTTTCATTAATAATATAGCTTCATTGATAAATAAAGTCACCATATTTCTGATTGCGTCGGTGGTTTACTGGCAGAATGTTCACCAGACACGGGGACGGCGAGACCTAGATTCAATTCCAGGCGCTCCTAAGTCTCGCCTAGTTTTCAAGCTGCTAGTAAGCTGAAGAAAAAAGGAAGACTGAGTGTGAGACTGTCAAATTCAACGCATAAAATCAAAACCACTACTGGGACTTCAAAGCTTGGAGCCCTTTGTTTCACCAGAAACCTGAAAGAATGGAAGGGGAAATGTTGCCGATTAAATATTTATGTGTGTATAATAGGCAGGTCTGAAAGAAGTTATAATTGAAACATGAGAGTTTAACAACGCATAAAAGTGAATTTGCTCCCTCTGAAAATTATTATTTGAAAAGATGTTAGCTAAAAAAAATCAATGACATGAGGCAGTGGGATAGAATTCAAATATATATATATATGAGTTTTATCCTTAAACTAGCAACAAATCCATTAGAAATCCAGTTTCTCTTCTTCATGATGCTTGGAACGATAACTCAGCTGTTAAGTATGCAGCAGTGAACATATTCATATCAAGATAACTCGTCGCCTAATTGAAACAATTGTTGGACGTAATTTAAAGGAAATGACTTTGGTCTTCATGCATATCATACTAAATTAGTGCTGTTCATTAAGTAAAGTGAGCCACACAATTAGTTTCATAACGAAGATAAAAATGGATTAGGAAAATGTTAAAAATTGTAGATATGTGTTATAAGAAAAATAAAATGTTCCATTTACTATTTTGTTATATACGTTTTCTCTTTAAGTAATTAAGCATGAAGTAATCGTTCCCTGTGAAGCTTACACTAATTCACTTGCCTTATGAACGTTGGAAATGTATTATTAATATTATTATGCTTAAGTGGATTGGTTTATACCAAACCTTTTTAATACCACTTACATATGAAATTATTCACTGCACTTGGTATCTGAATCAGCAGTAAGTAGCAAAGCAAAAGAAATAATACTTTTGGTAAACAAATATGCTGAGGAAAAAAAGTGTAAACAAAGTATTAGAAGTAATTCTGGTGGATGGTGACTAGCAGTGAAATCCGGGATAAGCATTTCGTCCTATTCGGGACTCGTCATCTGGGTGTACTCGCATTTCCCAATGGGTCATGGTGTTCCCACTGAGGCTGGAACCCAGGAACCATAATTTTAGACGACATGGGCTATCAGAGCCACCTCTTATGCAACAGCCTATATACATGCATATGTATATACATGAATTAACTCAGGATTTAGCACTGAAGGTGTTATCTGTGAAGAAAATAAAAGCTTTAGGCTTGAACTACCCATCCGTAATAAAATCATCTACATAAGCTGTCAATCTTCATCATATCAAGAAAATAATTTATGAATACAATACTAACACTGTGACGAATTATGAGCTATGTCAGAGAAAGTCTTCGACTGTTGGGTTTCGTTGACTTGTAGACTTATACAGCAGTCTATAAATTCCCAGATGGCTTGAGCTGTTGATCAGAGACTGAATGAATTATGTTGTGTTCAAGTAAGTTTAACCACTCTCAACTTTCTCTCAGGCCATTTATATAATGGATTAGGAAAGGAATGTAAGATTCGAAATTACGTAATATGTTTGGCAGAATAAATCTTCAACTGTCTCAAAACTGAAAGTTCCTAATAGAACGAGTATAAGACTGTTAGTAAGAGATATAAGGAGAAAATTATTCAATTTTAGATTAAAATGAAACATATAAGTTTCTTTTCGATACATTGTTTCCGTTCTCACCCATGTTTTTAACTTAATCCTAACAGTACAGCAGTGTATCAAAGTGTCATTTGAAGAATTCACAAATTAGGAATTGATACTAATTATCTCATAGCCTTAAATTTGTTTGAACTCAGACGTAAAGACAAGGAAGTATAAAAAAGACTAATCTCTATAGGTTTTTTCCTCAAGTTCACAAATATACATGTTACGGTAGAAGACGCGAGACTTGGTAAAGGAATGTGTATTTGCAATTGAGTATCTCTGTATAGCCAAATTATGTACACTTTATCTTCAACGCATCATTTGCACAGATCTTCCGTGTTGTGCTACTTCTGCCCTTCCTTCATACTGTGTTTCTTTGTGTTCCTTTCACGTCTACCATATATCTCCACAACGCTGTATCATTTGCCTTCTCTGATATCAAATCTATCTACCTGCTATTTGATGATTTTATGGCGATGAACATCTCTTCATATATATACTACTAACAAACCTTATCAGTAGCACACGCTACATACACACCTTTTTTGTTATTCCAATTTTTACTACTTCCATTTCAAACAAATGAATGATGGATAAAGCAGAAAAGTTGACAACTACTAATTTATACAAGTTACCAAAAAATGTTTTGTCTATATGACTATTTTCATATAAAAGAAAGGGTGTTCAGCGCAGAGATACTTTTTTGGCGTTATCTTTCTCAAGCTGTACAGTCCCATATATATGTCTCGTAAATTGTCTTATCAACAAAAGGAATATTTCCAAAGATGTGTCACTAGAATTGTAAATTATAGATAATAAACTACATAATGTAGAAAGCGTTAATCGGGTAGAAACTGAAATGAAATCAAATAAGTAAGTTGAGTGACGTGACGTAATTGATGGGGTTGAGTAGAATTCGACTAAAATTTGAGAGAGACTCAAGTTAAACAACAGTGGTAATAAAGGGTAGGGATTTAATAGGAGATGAGGGAAGGAAATGATACAGTTAAGAAACAAAAAGACAAAAATTACATATTTGGTGTTAAGATCGATCAGGATTTAATGACTGAACAAAATTCCTTTGTATGCAGAGTTCAGGATTTAACATGTGAATCGCCATTGCGTCTGTGCCTTAAAGAAATTTGATTCGTACTCTTTTAACGAGATTCCTATGTATTCTGTAGACAACTCTGAAATTCCTTTATGGGTTAGCTTGGTGTCCAGATTCGATCAGGTGTTCCAGGATAGAGATGTGGTGTTGGGGATCTTTTTTCGTTTATAAAATCATGAGGGTAAGTGTTGGACGATACGTTTGGATAGCAAATGCTGAGTACGGCCGACACACCTTTTCATATACCAGTTTTATTCAATAACGTCGATTTTAATTTTACTCGAAAATAAATTAACTTAAACACTATGGTTTTGCTAGTGAATTTTCGAGCTTTAGTCATCTACAAGGCTAGTATTTTTGTAAGTTGACTTCACAATTTTGCTTAGAGCAGAAGTTGATGCAATTACGCAATTTACTAAAGTTGACATGTTTTATATTAATTGATTAAATTGACAAAAAAGTTAATAGGTAAAAGTAGGGAAAAAGGAAGGGTTAAATAATGAAAACGCTTAGACGAGGTGTGTACTAAAAGCATAGAGAGCAACCAGAAAATTTGTGTCGTTGTGTAAACCTCAAACTAGATAATTTTGATAAATTCACACCCATCAGTAAAAAAAGGTGACTTAGGTCTGCCCCATTTCAAATTTTCTACTTACTATACGAAAGCGTTTAACTAAAAAAACACATTGTGTTTCAATGAATTACCAGAAGAAAACAACATTTTTTAAATCTGTCAGTCATGAAATTTACATAAAAAATATGGCATAAAATTGCTATTATTAATATTATTATTACTATTACTGTTATTACATAAGTTGATTGCTTCCTTTTTCATACATCAAGTTAGGTGTTATGAATGACTCTTGACTGTAGTAGTAAGAGGTTACAGTGTGACTAAAATTCCTTCGGATAAAAAAAATGATTGACGTTTTAGGATAGAAATGACAATTTTACTATTTGCTGAATTCAGAAGTGAAGTCTGATGATTTCGGAAACTGAACAAACTAAACAGGACGAACTGATTCTCATTATTATTATTATTCCTTTGGTTTCCGAGTGACAATTGGGCTTCAGAACAAACTGATAACAACTCCAAGTCTTAAAATAAAATATGAAATGCTCTTAGTGTGAACATGAAATGAAGCTTTTTCTCTAATTGGTTACAGGATTTCATCATGAGCTGACATTGGTTAGAGAACCATTGGAATACCTGGGATTACTGGACAGATGTTTCGTCCTACATTGGGACTCTTCGGCAGTACGCACCCACCGGGATTCGAACCCAGGACCTTCTGGTTACAAGGCGAGTTCGTATACCATTAAGCAACTGGGACCCAATCCAATGGCCAATGAATTCTAACTTCTGCTAATTCACTATATAGCGCAACCACAAGCCAATGTCTTCGGCGAGTATTTGTCCTCACACCCGACCTTCTCTAATTCATCCTCAGCAGTGTTATGCTGACGTAAACTGGAGGAAATCCGGATGTACTAGGAGAGTGAAAATTACACTACTTGCGAGTGTAATGGACGACATTTTGATTCTATGTTTGAAACCAAGTAATCTAATCCAAAGTGAGACCAGAGATTTATAGATGTGTATAACTATAAGGAGTTGGAGTCATAATTCCTGAGCTCAAGAGGTTATTGGATACATTGGAAGCACTGTAGTTTCAGCTGCTAAATTTCTTCAAAGGTCAACATCATTTAGAGAGATAATTGAACACATAGTCTGAATATCAGTTGCCAGTTCATTGATGGCTACTGGATAGATGCCCTGAAGCTATAATCAGAAGTAGTGACCAGTGGTTTCCCTATGTCAATGTGTAGTGAATCCTTGTCGAAGGCACTGGTGAGAGTAGTGCTACTTGAGAAAGTTAGAACTCACAGGTCACTGAATTCCAGTTGAAGTGGTTGAATTGTCAACGATCATGGTCTCATTATCTGAAAGTCTCGAGTTCGATCTCTAGTAGGGTCGTGGGTGCTTGCTGATGAACAGTAGCAGAACAGAACGACACAAATGTCCTGTGCTCCCAAGTTTTCAGCGACCTCCACCACTGATGTTAGCTTGTGACAAAAATCTAACAGTTGATATAATTCACAATCCCCAAAAACTCTATAGTCTAAAAATCACTGTAGTCATCAGAAAAAGTAAGATTGAGTACAGAAAACCCAGTGAATATGAAAACAAAACGTTACTCAAACATATACGTTCATTAAATGTTTCTCAAAATGTTAGGTACAAAAAGTTGCTGAATTATCTTTAATACGAGAGGAAGTATATTCTTTCATCCCTCCACACACACATGAATCAAATGCTGCATTCAGCAAGCGTGACTAAGAGTTTTCTTTTATATTTCACATGTTTCTACTTTTTCACCACATGTTTTATCCTTTATTTATACGCATGGTTTTTCTACAAGTCGGTATATTTGTATGTAAGGTGATCAGATAGCATTTATTGATTAGCTACCTATTCTCAGAGTTAGAATCGATCGATTAAAGTGGGGTATGTAAATGTTAAAAGCAACAAAAGATAACTTTTGAAATTAGTTTCGTTTTAAGTTTATTTATCTTAGGTAGGAGAACAAGAAAAAAAGGAAAAAGAAGAATCAGAAGAAGAAGGAACGTGATGAACGTTACCGAGGAAATTGTTTATGATCATTCTTATATTAATATTTACTTAAATACAGGAAACTGTTTTTTTCATCAATAGGATTGAAACAAGATATTTAATCGAAATGTGTTTAACTTTTTGAATAAGAAAGCAAGAAAGCGTTTTAAATTTAAACAGAATTACACAATAACACAAGTAAGGAGAACAATTTTTTTTTGAATCTACAAAAATAACTAACACTGGGAAGTGGAAGTCAACTTTGAGTGTTGTGAGTAAAGGTAGCGTATTAGTTAGTGTGAGTTTCTAACCAGTGAATAACCTTTTAACTCAAAAATCAAATGAAATAGGAATTGACTGTCTATTCAAGTTTAGTTTTCACCTAACATTAGCCGGGATAAACACGAAATTTCGAAATTTCTCAGAACACAACCACGAATGTGATCAAGTTTCAAAAACAGAAATAAGGTTATGAGGCGAGAAAATTACTGCCTGTTCACTGTCTTTGAATCCAGTATTTATTGATATTCAATTTCAAATCGACTGGTTATAAGTTAGAAAAAAATTTATCGAAAAGCTAACTACTTAATTGGTAATTCTTATCAGTTAAATGCAGCAACAAGTTTATTTATCGTATCTGTAATTGCTGAAATAACTTTTACCCTACATTATAATAAATTATTTTAAATTATTTCTCATGCTGAATCCCTCAAAATGCCAGACTATTGACTTCTCCGTTAGGCATAAACGAGATCTACAAACACTAGTAAGTACCCATGAAGCCTGTTGCATTGAGGGGACTAAAATTGAAACTAAGTCTAATGCAAAATACCTCGGTCTAGTTCTATCTTCCGACCTTACTTGGTCATCTCATATCCTAACGATTTCTAAGAAAGTGTTCTGTCTAATCTACTACATTAAGAAACTTAGACAATCTGGAATCACCCAACCTCTACTTTCACAATTTGTCAACTCCTGTATCTTACCTATTCTGCTTTACTGCTCCTCGTTAGTCTTTCCTGGGCTACTGAAAAAGGACTACACCACCATGAGAAGGATGTTGAAGGCAGTTAGTAGGACTAGTGGTGTAAAACTCAGTCAGCTTGTCACTACATTAGTTGAAAGGCATCTGAATACATGCGAAAAATGGTCTGAAACCATACTCTCCGACCCCCAACACCCCCTCTATTCCCAACTCTCGCCTTGTATCTCATCAAGTAGAACCAGAAATCAGTATAAAATAATTTATGCTCGTACAACCAAGTACAGGAACTCAACGATACCATATTTGGCCCGTGTTCTAAGTGACAGAGACAATGTTAAGCGCGAAACCTATGACTTGCTTTGTTGTTAATAACATAATTTTAGGCTCTTTTATTTCTCTCTTATTTTGTATTCTATAGTGAACTCCTTCTTAAACATACTTAGCTACCTAAATTATTAACATTGGCTTACTTTTTTGTACTTTACTGTATTCCTTCTTTTGTGTATCTACTGGTTCCGACTATATTAGCACTATGAGTATTACAAAATTTTCCTGTCATTAACCATCATGTAATTATTAGTTTTTGTGGTTGTTTTTTTAATTTTTTTTCGGCAATATTAACTGACAATCATTGGTTGTGAACGCCATTATCACCATCTTAAAATTTTGTATTATGCAGGATTACTCACACTACCACTACAAACACTGCATTAGACCTGACAATAAAAAACAAAACAACAACCCTGAAATGTTATTTTATGATTGTTTAGAGTTGTTTCAACCAAATTAACTGATCATCTTGGCGATAAACATTCTTAAATATCATTTCATAACTTCTTGTATGACTATAGCTTTACTGTCACCATGCATAATCACATCATAGCTTCCACTACCCAATACTGAGATATTATTATATGCTGTTTATTTTCCTTTCTACTTCTTGGTATTTTTTCGCATTTTTTAAAATTATTTTGTGTTTTTTGTGTTTGTTTTTTTGCTGTTGTTGTCTTTATATTTATTATTTTTTGAAAATACTCCTTTTAAACGTTGGATAAAATTAGATGCAAATATTGTAGATATGTGCTGAAAATTCCACACTGTACCACTAGTACTGTTTCTGGAATAAAGCAAATTATTATTATTATTAAAAATGTTTTTCTTTTCGACGAAGTCATTAACTAAAAAGTTCCAGAACTATTTCTGGTCAATGGTTAAAATAATAAAATTACAAAGCGTAATAAACAGGAAAATCGGATAAAAAACAGCAAGATAGATAGGTAGTAGTACTATTCTGAAACTTTTTTAGGTCAAAGGTCAAATTAGTAAAATTACAAAGTTCGATAATCAGGAAGATCGGGTAGGGGAAAGAGATGGTAAGATCATAATTACTGAAAAACGACTGTTTGTGCAATTACTGATTAAAGACGTAGTAATAACAAAATAGACATGAAGTTCGGATAAAAAGCAAATCTAGTAATGCCAAATAGGAATCAAAAAAATGTAAAAATAACAGAAATAAACTGAAAGGTTGGATAAGAAAGGTAATAGGATAATCATTATTGATAGGACTGACTTTTTATATTGGCCATGGTATGGACAACGGTTGGATGTATTTCTTTGGAATACATAGCATAGGCATGAGCTATGTAATCACTAGGGCCTTGGCTATTCCCAGATGCCTTGATTTCACTCCCTTTGATAGATTTGATCGGATCTCGTAAATGACTTTGAAGGACTTTTCGAATGGAGCTGAATGTCTTGAATTCATAAGATGTTCTGTTACCTAACTTTCCCACGAATGTACAACTTAGTTGATAACTTCGTTGAAAAGAAAATTTTCTTCTCTGCAAATGTCTTTTTAATAATTCCTATGATCCAGTGCGTGTATTGCGAAATATTTTCAACATACATTTGTGTCGTAAACTGTCATTTAAAGTTACGAGACACTTTGCTTTCATGGCTGTTAAAACGCACCATTAAGGTATGTCTGCAACAGTGAAACGATTAACTTTTCCCCTGGGATTCGGACATACATCATTTACAGCCAAGTTCAGAGATTTTATGACTAAGTTGTTGAAATGTCGGCCGACTCCTATTAGAGTGAATTATATGCGAAATCTGGCATCCGAAGTCGCTACCTATCATAAACATTAACGAGAATCTAATGATTAGGCGATGCGAAATTCTACATTAAAGAAATCAAACTGCTGACTTCAATCAATATATGACGTTACATGGTGTAAGCTGTAAAACCAGATTTACATTGTTCATAGTATCAGAAAATTAAACCTGGTCATCATCACTAACAAACACGTCATATCTGAAAAATAAGAACAAAATGTTCTGTCTAGGAAAACGAGACCACACTAATTTATCCATGATCTTCATATTTCAGACGAAAATGATGCAAGTTTCCAATTTCAAGGTAGAAGTATGACTTGCACAAGTCTAGCCCGCTTCCTTTAATTTTTCTCGTAATGATTTGTTAAATACGGATCTAATTGTTGTGTCAGTAAAACTCTCTAAATGTTTATCTCAGTATAAAGTAATTTAATTTTATATTTGTCACGCTTTACTTAAAGAGCGATAGTAGACTACTGTTCTCTGCTGAAATTTCAAGTACGGCAAAATGAATTTATTGTTAATAAGTGTTATATGCCTCAGTAAACCTTTAGATAATAGAATGACTTTACCTGCATTATCTGAAGAACGATCTCTGTTTATTTCCATTTGAGTTAGTTTAGTCGACTTGGGTACAGACGTTGATCGGTCTGATACAGTTGGTTTCATGATTGGAGATTTTGTGATACATGGTGCTTGTTTCTCTTGATCTTTCCTGTCCCAGTCGTCATCTTTTTTTTCTGATATTTCTCTTCCGGACACACTGGGATGGGGTTGCACATAACTAGAAACTGATGGATGACAGGTTTCCTGAGACAGTGTCTGAGTTTGATTTACCACTTGAACTGGAGTTGTATTTAATTCATCAACTTGAGTTTCCTAAGGAATTTAAATAACACATGTTCGAAATCAATTTGAATAATCTTAAATCACCATGTACTCAACTACAGTGTTTAGAAAATATTCAGAATGTATACTTTGATTGGACACTGGTAACTAGTGTGATGTGTCTAGTCCTTTCTTTGGTGCGGACTGAATTCTATCAGTCAGGTTTGCAATGTGGCCACCATTCTAGGTAGCTCGCCATCACATTGATTTGATGATACTAGATGGTTGGAGGCAATCGGCAGGAAGCCTTGGATCTAGGTTTCGTGCTAGTTGGCACTCACTAGTCAGCAAGGCGTATCTGCAACCTTGAAGGAACTCTTGTGCACTGTGATGGCCAGCTACCTAGCATGGTGGCCACATTGCAAACCTGACTGATAGAATTCAGTCCGCACCAAAGAAAGGACTAGACACATTACACTAGTTACTAGTGTCCAATCAAAGTATCCACTACAGTCCTACAGGATGTCAATCGCGAGTCCGAATAGCTAAATGGTAACGTCTCTGACTGCAACACTGAGTGAAGCGGGTTTGGATCTCAGAAGGGACATGAGTTCCTTCAAGGTTGCAGATACGCGTTGCTGAATGGTGAGTGCCAACTAGCACGAAAACTAGGTGTGTCCAAGGCTTCCTGCCGATTGCCTCCAACCATCTAGTATAATCAAGATGTATATTAGATCTTTAGTCGTTTAAATTTGCAGTGTAACAGATCAATCATTTATTGTTTCTTTTATGCCATTTATATCAGAATCCTGAATATTCTTCCATGTGGAGAAAGCTTAGGCTGGGGTTAAGTAGTTCTAGCATATTTTACTGATTTTCCCTGTTTACAAATTCATAGAGTAAGCTAGTTTCCTAACAGAGTTTCATGTTTGTGATATTCTGCTGATGGGGATACTTATCAGCTTATTAACCATATATATGACATCAGGCAAGGTTTCAAATGCAGAACCATAAAAATAATACAAGTAAACAATAGAGCTTAAAGTCGAATTCGTTTAACGTTTGTTTATCATTCCGTTGTGAAGTATTTAAGTCTGAAACCGAAAATTGTCTTGGTTTACACCATCCAAATATAAATACTGATTTCTGAAGATTTCGCTCATATGTGATCGTAATTAAGTCATCTGTGCAGATCTTTTACTTCCAAATGGCTGTTTAGGTGCAGTCGTTTTCATTATTTGTAGTTTCACTATTACTGTATTCGATTTCAATTTCTTTTTCTCTTTTAGTTACATACTTCTAATTAATTCGAAATATTTGGTACATTTGCTACTATGCAGGAACATTTTCATCATCTTTGCAAACAACTAAATTCACCACCTACCTAGATCACATGAACACTTTTATGACTTCATTATTCTAGTTGTCAGTTTCTTGCTTAAAAAGTAACGAACAAGGAGGATGCAAACAAATTCAAAATACTCTGAGAAATATTTAAGAATAATGCTTAGTGGTATGCGTCTTTTAGATCGGGGTGAATTAGGATAAATGTGGTTTTCACTATTTACTTTGGTGTTTAGCTCGAATTGCTGTTTGATTGATTTTGGCAGTGACCAGATGCCTTGATAAATTGGTCGACTCTTTTACATAGTGAGAAAATAGAGAAAAAAGCTTACTTTATCTATCATGTTACGTTTTGGTAGAGCTGTAGAACTTGTTTGAGATATTTGATGGCTCGTAGATGGTGGGTGGAAATCTGATTTAGGTCCATCAACCCACTGTTCTTTTTGAGTACTCAACGTCTCAATTGCATTTTTGACTGCATTACGCGGCCATGCGTAGACATTAGTACGAGGAGCTGATTTCTTCCGTTCCTTGGAATGTACGGCATGTGGCGAGTAAAGATCACCGGAATTTGCATGACTACCTGAATGCCCTCCTGAACCGCTTTCACCTCCTCCACTACCACTTGGCACACCGACTGAAGAGCCTACAGGAGAACCATGGGATTGCTGACCACCGAACTGTTTAACTTTACTTCCACCACTTGCCTCCTAAATAAAATGTAACGAAACAAAGTTATGGAATATATCCCATAGATATTTGGAAGAATATACTTAATATCTTTCTCAAATAAGGTGAGTTATGCATGTTGCATACAACAAATTTTCACCTACCACAGAATTTCGTGTGATTTATAATAAAGTCATAATGAAATATACCTGATTTCTCACTAACATTATTTCGTGAAAATAATTTTATATATTTTCAGGTGTTCAGTAAAATATCCTATTTCTAGTAGGAAATTAGAGAATAAGTAAGGAGGGAGAAAGTACAGTTTGTATACGTTTGAAACCAAGTTTTCCAACTTTGGCAAATGAAAAATTTTCTAACAATGATTTAGATTTCCTTTGCTTAGTAGGCTGATATTGTACCTGGGAGGATTTAATAATAATAATAATAATTTGCTTTATTCCAAAACAGTACATGTGATACAGAATGGCATTGTCAGCATTTTTACTACATTATTGCATCCAGTTAGTACATTATCAATAAATAGAATTCTACATAGATTAAGGAAATCTCAGTTCATTATGACAACAACATATTGGCATGTCGGTAGCAAAGCCAAAGCTGAACAGTGTTTGAAGGTGTTAGAAAAGTAGGTGCTGTCATATTTACTGGCGTAAGCGGAAGAAAGAAACAAAGCAGTACATAACAGAAAAAAGAGGAAAAAGGAAAGAAGGAAAGAAAATATTGTACTTATAAATGATATGAGTTGAAAAGACGAGGTCCAGTTGTTCTACTGACTATTTAATGAATTATAGGTGTCACGCCTAATGCTTTCTTTATCACACAGAACACGAGCTAAGTAGGGTATTGTTGAGTTTTTGTACTTGCTGGTGCGAGCATATAGTTTTCTATTTGGGCTTCTGGTTTTGCCTGATGAGATGCAAGGGGAGAGTTGTGAATGAAGAGGGTGGTGTGAGTTAGATAAAATGAACTTGGTCCATTTCTCACAGGATTCCATGTGCCTGTCGACCAGAATATTAACAAGCTGGTTAAGTGGCACGTTGCTTACCCTGCTGACAACCTTTAACATCCTGCGTAATAAGGTATAGTCTTTCTTCAGTAGCCCGGGAGAAACTAAGGGGGAACAATAGAGAATAATAGGCAGGATGAGAGAATTAACGAATTGTTGGAGTAGGGTTGGGTTATACCAGAATGTCTTAACTTCTTAATGTAGAAGGTAAGACGGAATGTTTTCTTAGGAATTGCTAAGATATGAGACGACCAGGAGAGATCAGCAGATAGAATGACACCTAGGTATTTAATTTCCGATTTGGTTTCTTTAAACTTTAAAGATGTGGGTTGTTAGAGCATAAACCTTGAAAATTCACATATGTTCGGTTACAGTAACCTCATTAGATATTTTGTCGTTTTGTCTGACAATCAGGATGAAATATTTTAAGACAGTCATATACATGAGTTACAATGATGGATGACATTAGAACACAGATCCTTATTCCTTGACAGATATAGGCATGAAAAAGAAAATTTCATAAGGAACTAGATTCGAAGTTTCAACACAGATATCAAGTCAGTGCTTCTATTACGGTTCAGAAATTTGACGAGATCATCACCAAAAGCATTTTCAACAAGTTTCAGGCTTTCATCAACACCTGCCTTCACAGGCTGAACACTAAAGATCAGATGGCCGGTTGGAAGGGATAAGTAACGAAAAACTCTGGTAACTAGGGAACCAGCCAGGAATCTATGACTCGCCCAACAAATACGCGGAAGGAAATGGAGGTGGACTGGGCATTCACTGAAGACATCACTCAGTGACATCAAATTTTAAGCCCTTGAGTGGAATCCAAACGGGAAGCAAAGTGCATGAATGTCCGAGGGTAACACGGAAAAGATCATGTGAATAGGAAATGCAAGTTTGTGGGCAGTTGTGGAGCCAGGAGAAAGTGGTGACAGACGACCAAGAATAATGGAGGCATTCTGCTACGGTCCTATTGTTCCACTCAGAACTCAAGGAACGAATAATAATAATAATAAAGTACTAATAAAGGTTGGGATTTCGAAGAAATGGCACATTCCATGTGATACAGAAAGTAACAGTTTATAATTGCAGATAACTAACTGAGAAGGACTGAATACAAAAGATGTGTTACTCGACCAAATCACCTAGGTTAATGATAGTGTCTATGTATGTCCAAACGAAGTTACTTATAGAAACCTTTATTATATTAATGATAGTGCCTATTCAGTGCCTAAGTTGTAATGGCAATTGACAGTCACTTCTATCGAGAGGAAGGTGAATTTTCTGATCTACCATGAGTCACAGAGACAGTCAGTTTATTCACCCTATAAGACAAATCAGTCGAATGTCGGACTATTGATTTTTGTGTGTGACACACTTTTGATGTCGTTGTAACAACAGACAGGCTTCCGTATTTATTATTTATGACATTCAGTAAAGCGTAAGGTGATGAAGAAAGTAGTTGCTGTTCATGTAGTCCTTGTGAATCATCATCGCTGTTGCTACTACTTGATCACTTTAGTTATGAGAAAACTGAATTGCGTGGCCTTCTAAAACAATGATATCAAATGCCTTTGGTTATCCTTTTTAAGTTAAATGTCTATACCTTTTACTCGACCTACTAAAAACATGGCACAGAAATAAATAATAAGCAATAACTGTAGACAGATATGTAAACTTACTGAATCCGTATCTATATTTGATCCAGACAATGGTTTACCTAGTCGAGATCGTGCCTTCTGACTTGAATCGTGGTGATGATCCAATAAACCTTGGCGGCCTAAATATATTACAGTGTCACACGACTGTTCACTACTCGATGTATAATCTTTTTCTGAAGAAGCAGCAAGGCTTAAATGACTGTCAGGACCATAGTGTCTATATCTAGTCGAAAATCCTTTATATCCATTCGAACGCTTCATAGCTGAACGCAGACCCATATTTAGACGTAATCTTCCAGCACGTCTCAAACCAAAACTATCACAAGATGAGCTATCTTCAGAACTGGTAGTCTGTTCATCCATTTTTGATTCTTGTTCAGTATTGTTTGAACTGCTTTCAGATAATGTTCTGTCGTGTGTTTTGTGACGTCGACCTCTTTGGATTTTTGAAGCAAACTGCAACAGCTATTAAAAAAAGAATCAACACTCCATTTAATTCTTTATTAATAATAATATGGGATTACGACACTTATTCACTCTCAAAACCAAAGACAAGAAATGAGTCTGAATAGAATTTAGTGCGTTATTACTGAGTAAATTTAAAAGAACAGATCCTTTATGACAGAATTTCAAGTCTTTTAATTCGTATGTAAATATTTATAATAGATGCTTGAAAACAAGCATTATAAATCCATATGATGTCATATTCTAGTGTAATAGGAAGTTTAATTATTACAGCGTATGTTGTCCTATTCTCAGTGCAAACAATAAAATAAAATCCAGTCACGCATCATAAAACTAACTAAGGTGAACAGATTAAAAGTTGTATATGTCACTAAATCGTTATTCAGCTGTTCTGGAAGCTTTTAACAACGCGACCAATTCAATTCATTATTACCAGTTTGTGAAAAGATTTCGCCTGTACATTAGGTTTTACCACCGCAATTTCAGGATTTCAAAATAGTATAGTACACAATAGGTTATAAAATGTATTCGCCAGAAAGTCGCATGGCTTAATTCTTGATATATTTTCCCTGCATCCTCAAAAAAATATTATCAAGACATTTAAAAAACAGTTTTTTGTCCATTGGTCTAATCACATATCTGATGGGGATTATGGAAAGTGAAGAGGGTAAATTCTTCACCAGTTAATGAAAATATTGGCCGTACTACTACCCTAATTCTATTAATTAAGTCAACTGCGGGAAGGGGCTGATATGATCCTTTCCGATCATAGCACTGCTTATTACATGTGTGTTTAGTAAGATATCTTGATGAGCGTTTCTGATGCTGTTGTGTTCCCTGAGCTGGATGGCTTAATTGCAAAGCTATCACTTTTCTTTTACACAGCATCTTCAGCACGTCTCTAAAGAAAAAAGGGAGTTGTTAGAATTCTCCATGAATAAAGAAGTGAAAGCATTTATTAGAGATCTTAATAAACGAAAATTCATTGAGAGATAATTTAGAAAATTTCTTTGCTTACCTGTAAATTTTCTTGATAATAACTTGCACTTGGGGATGTTTGTATAAGAATGCATGTGCGACATCCAATACTGCTAACTGCCTCACGTAACATCTGAGAAAGTTTACTATCTCTGTGTGGATGATGTCTATTCCCATTGATTAAAGCCAGGACAACTGATGTCATCGATGAGAGAGATAATGCTGAATCATTTGAAGAGGTTGAATGTTGTTTGTTTTCTGAATCTTTAGAATCAGAGTCTTGTACTGTATTGTCTGGTGTCATATCTTTTGATAATTTTGCATTTCCTAAATCTATTAAATGTAATCGACTTCGACCGCCAGCAACTTTATGAAAGTCAGAAAAAATGATACGTGGTATTAGAGTCTTTAGAATAATATTAAAGGAAATAAAATATAAATAAACTTCTCTGTAGTTAAATATTTACCAATAATTTCAGTTCTATACATATTCGTCACTTGATGGCAACGATTACAGTCATCCATCCTTAAGTGATTTATTCGAAACCTGTTGATAAAGTGAGAAATGTGGTAACACCCCTGTATAATATAGTACAGTTAAGTATTCGAAGTAGAGTCAATGAGTTTAGTGGTTCAGTATATGGCTTTTTCACAGAGCGGTGTGTGTCTGATCTCAGGTGGGTGCATGAGTTCCCTTTGGTTCAGAGATTATTTTTATTCCTTTGTGTTCCCAACGGAACATATGAACTTCATGCTTGAGCTTTAAAGTTTCGGTAGCAGTGGTTTTATTTTCCCTAGGTGGGATTGTTAGTCTCACGCCCAACCCTCCCTCTTTACCGGGCTTATTAGTAGCTAAGCAAGGTTTGGGAGTGCATCGGTCATGGACCGAACCCCGGACACCTGGTTGGCTGACGGATATTTTACCTCTAAGCCACCGACGCACTTTGGTCTAGAGATAAACTGTACCAATAAGCGCCAATGAGCACGAAGCTAGGATCGAGGATTCATTGTGTATCATCTGGAAAGGCCAACCAGGAACTCTACTTAACATAAATGCTAGAAAGATGGATCTTGATAATCTCGAAATGAATATCGCACATTTATAAATATACTTATGAGTGGAATGAAGTATAATATTTCAATGTTGCACAAGACGTTGTGTGTGTAATTTTTTCAGTGTTAAATATCGTAAACAAACAGTCTATTCACCTTCGAATTAAAGCTAATAAATATGAACTGTTACATTAAAATAAAGAAATAGCTAGAATTTTTTAAAGTATGTGAATTATATCACACAGAAACTGTTGACTTCCCCTTTATTATTAATGGTTTTGAAAATCAACAAGTATCATTAACAAAAGTTATAGTAGATAGATAAGTAATCAAAAAGCTCAGGTTTGTAATAATAATAACAACAACAACACTCCTTAATGAGACATACTCTAATGAATCATTCACTTAATGCAACACCTTCTCATGTTATTTGTCACTGATTTCAAACAAACACTTGTTTCAAGATTGAATCGATACATTTAAAATAAGTTTGTTACACAAAGGTAGTAGTTAACTGGTTTTTCACACACATATAAGTTTGAAGTAAATGTTACTTTTAGAACTGTATCCCATTATTATCATTTTGTCAAAAAAAAAACGGCAACAATTAACTGCATTACACTGTGTCATAAATTAAACACTACAGATAACTTGTACAGTCATGCAGGCATGCAAACAAAAATCTTTGCTCTGCAAAATAAAAAAATACTACCTGTAAAATCAACTGAGATCCAAAATATACAATTCAATGAAGACGTGACCAATGAATTTCTGTATTTAAGACTTTCTAAAGCTTTATTTTTATTTTATTTTTGATTACAGCTTGATTCCACACCGTATTTTTCGGTACAGGTATGGAATTTTCAGCATGTGATATCGTTAGCCCAAATTTTGCAGGCCAACCATAGATATCAGGTTTGCGTTGGCAAGGGATCGAACCCCAGACCATGTGCATGGTCGGCGAGAGTCCTAACCACTGTGCCACCGACGCACATATCGCCATCACCCTTTCTTTATCATTTTGCAGCTGATAAATCATAACTACTTAGGCAAAAGATAAATTACCCAGGTGTATTACTTCTATGTGTATTTAAAAGTTTAGCTGCCGCTGTTGCCTTATAAGACAAACAACTGGACAGCTTAATACATGTGTTGCTGATTGCCTTTGTTAGTATTTAGAAAAAGTCAAGCAAAGACAATGTAAAGCTCACTTTTGGTTTCATGTGACTGACAATGGTCACCAAGAGGAAAAATATGGGCTTTCTTGATTATTTATCATAACCCATCGAACCTTCCTAACGTATAGAAATTCCTGAGAATAGCTCTAGTCTCGCCGTTGGCCTAGGTAAGTTTTCAAATTAATATATTCAATAACAACTACAAAGAAGTGAATACTACTGAAAACATTTCAGAAACTTGACGGATTTTTCCGTATAAATAATCTAATTTAAACCCTTATTATCTTAGAAAGCTATAAATGCTTAATCTAATATGTAATAAAGAAACTCAGAAGACTGAATTCCAACGTACAAAAAAACGTATGTGGAATAATAATAATGGCTTTATTCTGAACAGTGTTTAGATAATGTACAGAATTTTCAGCGGAGTTTATTGCATGATATTTTCTCTTCGTCCAGGATCTTAAAATTTTAATTGACAGTTGACAGTGTGACACAGTTCTATCTGACCTGAAGCGCAAAACAATCCGTTATGATATCTCTTCCTTTTCTCCTTCGAGAAACAGACGATATTTTGTTGAATGCAAGTTATAAAAAAGTTTAGGTATACATTTTGTGAACCAAGACCACCGTTCAGGAATGGTCACCTCATTCATGTATTGGGATAAGCTGCCATCGAGGATAATGCTTTTTCTCATGTTTAGTAGAAACTTGCGTATCAGCAGATTGTAAATGTTTTAGATGCTCGCCAGAGTAAACAATACTATTAGAGGTCATTCTTTAGTAGATTTAAACAAACTGGATGCGAGAAATTATATGCAATCTATTGATGGAGGTTTCCGGTAGCCAAGTTTTAAGCAGGCCGTTTTTAGCCTAATTTAGCAACTTCCTTCTAGTTAATCTGTACATACATCTTACTCACCAACAGTAATTTAAGACACAGAATGAAATTATTTTATCCTAACAATCCCTGCCGCCTATTTAATGAAGACCTCAGGTTACTGCGAAATGTTGCTGATAATTTATTAAGAAAATTGGCTTACTCTCAGACTCAGTAAACCGTAGCTTAAGCGAAATCACTACTTCGAATTGGAAACGTTAACACAGAAGAGCTACATTACATCAAAGAAGTTTGCCTGGTTAAAAGGTTCTGATAATATTTCAGTGAGTATAAAACAATAGCCTTTAATGTTTATAAAATGAAGCTGTTCTGAGGTGATAGAGTGTACTTCAAAGCGTTAACTCTTACTGATAAGCAACCATTTGTTTCACACAGAGGTACCGACACAAAGTTACACTTTTAGATGAAAACAGATGTCTTCATGTCAATATGATTTTAACAGCTTCCATTAACAGAAATAAACTTTCCAATCGTTGGTCAACTCTGTTGATTATCCTCCAGCATTTATTATCTCAGTATGTTATCATCAGATTCATGATGGCGACAGTAAGGATAAGGAGTAATTAAAACAATTATCATGCTTTTAGTGCGCTGGGCGAATAGTCTGCTTAAGTAAATATATGAAAGCCAATGTAGACTTTGTCACTTTGATGTAAAAAACACGGAAACCATTTAATTCTGTTACTTATCTTCCATGTTATATTTATTTAAATTAGGGGGATAAATTATTTTTGTTTCAATATCTTTTTTTCCCTTTGGGAATTATATCGTCCTAGGAAACTTTCTTTAGAATTAATCAGTAGCTTAGGAAATGAGTTAAATAGTTTTACGGAGAAATCGATACAAGCTGTCATAAAGCATCATTTTCGAAGTAGAATTTTGAACTGTTAGAAACAGTTTGCCTCAACTTGATTACTTTCAGTTAACGATAGTTTAACCCATTAGCAAACAACTTTTGCATAATTTAATTTTATCCGTTCCAAAGGTACAATAAATTTTTGTTTAGATTGTAAAAGAAACTATAGTACATGGCGGAAATTTGAATCAAAGAGCAAAGTATTTTCAATGTGAAAATTACGACAGTACTTACCACCAGAACCTATTCCACTTCTTTCTACTCTGTACTGGTAAATATGTAGCGTGAAAAATAGATGTGAATTTCTTTTCCATAGGACAACAGGATTTGGTAGAAGAGGATGATGATGTATGAATGAGGAGAAGCTGGTAAGGGATTTGTTGATGAAGCACCACATGCTATGGGTTGACAACGAGCCGATAATGCTGAATCTAAATAAAAGGCTGCTTTGTCAGCTGTTGGTGCTCTAAGTTCACTTTGATTTTCCAACTGAGTGCCTGAAATTGGATCATCACGAAGGTAAATCCCAGGTGCATTAGCTCCAGCTGCTTCTGTCGCTGTAGTCAGAAATAAGTAAAGTCATTATTGTTCAGTAGAATAGTGATAATCAAAGAGTAAATTAATACACTTTACCTCATGTTGCATATATGTCTATGAAGAATACATTAATAGTTATCACCGTGTGAAGAGTATGAATCCCACAGTTTAAGCAATGAAACTTAATCACCTGTTCCTAGTTTTTAACGTTAATAATGCACAATTTCTACGGTTGTAAATCACACAAAATTATGAGTTAAAATCTAGTACATCAACACGTATCGAGGAATTCTACTGTTTAACTTCACGTGATTCACTCACGAAAATGAAAGTTAAATGACTAATGTTATGTAATAAACTTATAATAATAGTTTCTCTAGGAAATTATAAATTAACTAAAATCTCTCCTTGTAATTGCTGTCATACATAACGTTTACAGAGTTCTTTGTGTAGTAGTGGTATAAGGGATAGCTAATACATTAAACTGCATGATTAAGACAGTAGATTAAATTTTCACAATTCCATATGCGGTGACTTTATTTGACACAATACTCAGTGACGAAAATTTTTTGATGTGGTTGTGTTCTCTGAGCTGGATAGTTAATTTGCAAAGCTTTCATCACCCTACTAGGTAACATCTTCAGTGCATACTTCAATTTGGCGAATGTTATTTACTAAACAAAGGAACCGCATTTGTCAGAAGATAACATAAAACTCAGAACAAACCCGCTTTTTGAATTAGATGCTCTTTTGAGATCAAACACAGGAATTTATCGCTACAGATAGCAATGATAATATTCAATTTATGCTAGTGATTCTGATCTATCTGACCACACTGTTTAGCTTCAGTTTATTATATGAGCTACTTGATAGAATATCCAGAAATGACCGGGTTTAAAAACTCGAAGTTAGTTGTTTTGTCGATGAAAATCAGTAAAGGCGGCTATTGTGGCTGAGTAGCATGTGGATAACGCCCTGATAGTTTTGAGCATCACTGAGCAGTAAGCGCATCCAGCTGGAAAATCCCAAATGGAACGAAACACACGTCTTGGATTCTACTGATCGCCACCACCAAAAACAGTAACTTCGAATGATGATAGTAGATTGAACCTAATTTTTACTTTTCAGTAAACACGTTTTCAACAATTTCTTACTTTTCTTCACTGAACTAAACCAATCAAACTCTGCTAGTATTTGAGTTCTTTGGTAAGACAACTCAATACCATCTTCAGCCTAATTAATATATGGGAATAAATATAAGAGACGAAGATTGTTTGTTCATTATAAGTTCATAAATATGTCACCAAACCATTTCGTCTCATATATCTTTTGATCGAACATTTCGCATACCTTTATATCAATAAGCACCTTTCATTTAATTCAACTGAACTAGATCCTATCCAACATACTAATGTGTCTGATATAACTAAAATTTCACCTTTACTGGCTACTGCGTGTCGCTAATTATGGATTTGTTACTTTACCTCCTGAGGAAGAAGTCATTGGAAAGCATAATAATAAATGAATAACTATCGCAAAAGATGAGATACTGGTGAACTAATAGTCCGGTGTTTAAAGAGATTTATTCCGAAGATGTATTTTCAGTGTGTATACCAAAACCATGGTTTAGGTGGATGCAATTAAAACCTTCGAAACAGGATTGAATAAACACCCTGAATTATTCAGTTTTAGCCGTCACCGAATAAATAAGGACAGTGGTTATCATTTTTTTTCTAAATCATAAAATTTCTATGTTTCTGAGTGTTTTATATTATTGTCTCCTTATGTCACTCAAATCCACAGTTTCCTACCAGTTGTAGGTGTTTGTACACTGACAGTTTTTCAGTTTATTCAGCTAACAATCAAAGCTCACAACCAACTGTTTATCAGAAAGTTATTACGGTATAAGTTATATTACTCAGATATTGTTAATGAATAGCGTGAGGAGCGCGGCACATCATTTTATCGGGAAACATGATTTCACTAAGTAAAAAACAAACAAGCAAATCTTTCAGCTGCTATTCATTAATCTCAGTCACGATATTCTAGTTTTTGAAACACATTTCTGTTATCCCACGACAAAAACCTGTATTCACTTATATCTCTTCTTGATAATGTTAATGTCGCAATCTCACCCACTCGCCTGTACACAAACTAACTTCCACACACACATGCATGCATGCATGCATACTTTACAAACATGAAAATGATGAATTTTCCTCAGAAAAGACAACGGACAAAATGGCGTCCACTTGCAAATTTTTTTTTTATCTCAAAGGAAGAAAAATAAACGAAGTCAATAATCAAGATTAAACAAAGAGACTAATTTTTCATACCTAAAAATACAAAAACTGGTTTTATCGTGATTTTTTCTTTCAAAGTTATCTTTCTATTTGTTATTGCTATCGAAAAACGAACATATAGTCGACTTACCGTTTGAAACAGAAGATAAAAGATCTCTCAATGCCTCCTCTTTACCATAGACTTCAACTGCAGATATACGAACTGAAAATCTAGCACCGGTTCGTTCCTTTTGCTCAGATATCAATCGAAATAGCCATGATATGGCTGAAGGAATGATGCCAAGACCAGAGGACTGTTTGTCATCGCCAAACATTGAATTGGTTTTAACTAAAGAATAAAAATCACACTACGATTTAATCGTTAAAGTTAAAAACTCATCTATGTAATAGGACGAGATTTTTTATATATTCATTAGCTAGAATCAAATATTTACCTGACTGAAAGATTTTATGTCAGATAATGTGGTAATCACTTTTCTCTGGATATCTCATCACTTCAAAATTTGTTTTTTCTAGGGTTTTGTGCTATCTCATCAACCATTAATATTAATATTAGGTGATGGCTTCCTGGCTCGTTAGTTGCCAGAGTTCATCTGTTTTCACAAACTCTTAAATGAACAAAATGCGTACGCTCTTCGATCACTAAAAATTTCACATTTTCAAAGGGCCGACTACATTATGTCTGTTGTAACAGTGTACAGGTGAATGTTTTGTTGGAGGATTTCAACTACCCAATACCTACAGAAGTAGATGTCACTTACATACTGATTAACCCAAGTATCTAACACTGAAGTAAAATGAAGTACTGCACTGTCATGTTGGTGAGCATATCTGACTAATAGTCTTCGTCTAATCCACATGAGGGTGAATATCTTAAAACTTTACAATACAGTAACCACTTTTTCTGTATTACTAGTCATCGGTATAAGCATAAGCAATAAGCTAAGTGTATAACAAAGTTCTTAGAAAGCTAAGATGGTGACATTCTTATAACCCACAGTAATACACACCTGATGGTTTTCTTTTGGAAAAAAAATGACATAAGCTATGATTATATTTTTTTATTGCAACCATTGAGGATGACTAACTGATTTATTTAACACTTTGTGAGTGCTTTGAAGTAGTTGTTTTCGGTGACTTATCTTCATATTAAAACAACTAGTTATCATGTAAGGAATAAGCCATATCGCTTATTTGTCAAAGTTCTATTTGAATAAAAACATTTTTTTTGATTTCTTCCAAAGAGGTAAAACTTTTTAACAGAAGCGCATTTCACCAACCATATAACTTTCTAAAATGACAGCGTTATTTTTATTTATCATGTAATGCAGACTCTTCTCTACTCCAACTTCAGGCTTACGAAATCCAAGATGTGAATATAGGTGGGCAAGTCAGTGATGAACACTTACAGCAGTGTACAATCAACTGGCGTTCATGGTTGCATTGCTTTTTTGTTTAGCTTTGATCTGCTGGATACACTGATGGTTTTGGGTATGAATATGAAGGTTGGTGTAATCCCTTACTTTGTTACGGTATTTCTGAATACTTTGGTGTCACAAAAGTTATATTTTTGCCAGAAAACTTGAAAAATTCTCTAAATTATTTACTGAACATCGTCAACACATGCTATTCAAATTTAGGAAATGTGTTTTTCTATTTACACTTCATGGATTTTAGTCCAATACTCAACGACTTTACGGGTACACAGTATATAGAACTTCCAATCCGTATGGAGAAGTCATCAAATGTTTCTATCATTGTTGGTGTTAGATGGTTGAAAGCAATCAGCAGGAAGCTTTAGACCTAGATTTCGTGCTAGTTGGCACTCACCAGTCAACAAGGCGTATTTGTCACCTTGCAGGAACTCATGTTCCTTCTGAGATTAAAACCCATGTCACCCAGTGCTGCAGTCAGAAAAGTTACCACTGTACTTTCATACATTTATTCTCCTTAATGAATTTGTATTAAGCAAGAACAACAGTTTTCGCAGAATAAAATGGTACCATCATTTATTTAGTTGGCTTCTCATCAGCTGCTTACAGGCCAAAGTTATTATTAATTATATCTACAGGAACAATTTTAACATACTTTCACAGAGTTCATTTTTAAACAAAATTCAATCGATCAATATATGCATACAGTAATTATATATATATATGTATAGTATTAAACACTATTCCGAAAAATAATGATCATACACAGTGGAAACTTTCGCCATTACGTAATCAGATGAAAGAGGGGTGACTGACAAGTGCTTCTTTCTGAACGCATAAATCAGGTTTCAGGTGCTTGTTGGTGGAGATCGCTTCGGCAAACTTGAGAAGAATTGAACTCTTTTGCCTATTGATAATTTTGAACGATCTTGCGACGTTCACCTAATGACCGGTGTCAAGGAGATGCCTGGCGATGGCACTGTTTAAAGAATTTGTTCCCTTTAGACCTAAGCTTTATGGTGCATGCTCGGAAAATCGTAGATATGCCCTTCTTTCTGTTCTTCCAACGTAATTGCTGTCGCAGATACATGTAAATTTGTATATACAGTTGGAGTGAACATGAGAAGGATATCTATCGATTTTTGATTGAAACAAAGAGCAAGTTGTTAAATAGAGGGGAACGAGCTTAGCTGCAGGATTGGCTCTAGCTAGTGTCGTACTTAGTCTTCTGTTGACTATTGCTGCAATGTTCTCACCTTTATAATCAAGTTGAATGTAGACTGGCTTTTCCTCTACTGTTATTTGTTTGACATTTGAGACTTCAAATCTTCCATAGTTGTTAATGAATCTTTGAGGGTAATCATTGGTTTTCAACATTTTCTCGAGAAATAAATATTCTTCCTCTAATTTCTATTTAAAGCATAATCTCCTAACTCTGTAGTATAGAGTCTTGACTAGTCCACGTTTAAGGCTATTTGGACAAAAACTATTAAAATATAAGTGTTGTCCTTTCTATGTAGGCTTTCGGTAAACTGACTTCTGAAGACTACCATTTGATTACGTAATGTCGAAAGTTTCCATTGTGTATGATCATTATTTTTCGGAATAGTGTTTAATACTATACATATATATATATAATTACTGTATGCATATACTGATCGATTGAATTTTGTTTAAAAATGAACTCTGTGAAAGTATGTTAAAAATGTTCCTGTAGATATACTTAATAATAACTTTTACCTGTAAGCAGATGATGAGAAGCCAACTAAATAAATGATGGTACTATTTGATTCTGCAAAACTGTTGTTCTTGCTTTACCACTCAACTATTTGAGCTTGTGACTGACCCTTTCTTGTGAGACTTTACTGAATATTTTTGATTTGCCACCAACCCAAAATGGTGGCCGCATTGCAAACTTGACTGATAGAATTCAGTCTGCACCAAAGATAGGAATAGACACATTACACTAGTCACTCACTAGTGTCCAATCAAAAATCTTTATGATTTTTCTTTTCATTTTTATTATTTACACAAGTCATCAGGAATTTTTAAAACATGTCCAGGAAGCTTTCACTGTACTGCTGTTTATTAAGCTCTGGATACGGTAGAAATAAAAATAACTGAGGATGCCCAAGCGTTTATTATTACATTTTAAATAATTAATAAATCATATTTTTGTTTTATCCCTTTGCGCTCCAAATGGAACATAGAGCTTGAAACTTGGACTTTGAAGTTTTTTTTTACAGTCTTACCAGCCTTACTTCCAGCTAAGTGTGGTCTGGGAGTAAGTCGGGTGGGGATCGAACCCTGAGGCGACTGAGTAGTTGCCAAGTATTCTACCACTGAACCAGCGATACATGAAAACTCATACGGTATTCATATTTGAAGAAATAGATAAGCAGATTCACATAAACTCTTGCACCTAGATGTTCAAAAAGATTCTCCTTCTTGTGAAATAAACTTTTCCATGAAAATCTTTCCTAGTTCCTCCTTAAAACTCAAGAAGACTACGATTTAGCCAAAAAGTATGTTCAGTTTGTTAAAACGAGGATTGATATTTATGAATTGAACATTTTCTGCTCAACAGGTTTACACATATATGTTTATGTGCTTAATAGTAGATAATCAGACTGATTATCCTAACAAAACTGAATTTTGATGTTGAGATGAATATTTTACATAATATAGCAACAAATCCTACCCAGAATCTAAAAAAACCAATTACTATGCTAAAGGAATATTTTGATTACAATAAATTACGAAGTAAAAAAAAAGAGTATTATCGGAAATTAATTCTCTTCTTGAGAATTGTTAGTGTTAGTTAGTTAGTCAGTTAGTTGGTCAGAGAAACAGACCGACTAGGATAATTTTGTTGCAATAAACCCACTTTCATTTATTCATACATAGATAAATGGATAAGGATAAATTGTCTTCTCAATAACTCTTTTTGTTTTCCCCACATAATTGTATACTGTGTGAAGAAAAACAATTCACGACAATGAATTCAGGCTATTCAGCCTATGCGACAAGAAGAACCAAAATAATCATCAATAGAAAAGATATTTAAGCAAAAGAGAATACGATAGGCAAAAACGTTTTCCCTTTTTTTCCTGTTTGCGGACTGTGATCAGACTAATAGTGATATATATATATATATATATATAAGTAAAAGCTATTTCACTTATGTTTACGATAAACAAATAAATCAAAGAAAAATATAATTTATTTGTTTGTTTATTATATTTGTGTGAGTAATTTTCGGATATCTTTTGTATTGTCTGAATGCCTATTGATTGAAAAAATAATTAGATAAGGCCGTGTGCAGTATTATGTGTTATAGGTAATTTGTACCAGGCTAATTAGTCACCTTATTCAGGATATGTTGAAGTCCCGTGTGTGTTGGTGCATTTCGGTGTGACGATTTTGTAGAATAGTGAAAGGACCATCTTTTTTTCATCATTTTCTTTCCAATTTAGAACACAAACCTTTTCTTTATCTTAATTTTGCAGCTTATAATTAGACATCGCATGCTACATGAATGCGTCAGTGGCTCACTGGCAGAATGCTTACCACCAACACGGGAGGTCTGGGTTCCATTACCAGCCCACATACACCTACATCTTTCCTAATTTTGTCGCCCATAGTAGGCCTAGAAAAGAGAGAAGGTTGGACGTCACCTTGTAAAAGCAACACCCCCGTACTAAGACTTAAAAAACTGGAGCCCTGTGATTCAGTCAGTACACAAGGAATGAGAAAACTGCTGTATTAAATCATCCTCAAATAAAATTATTTCTAGAGAAGCTGAGTGTGTTTACCAATTCAAAACACAGTATGAAACTGGTTACCATAACTATGAATCAAATATCGATCAGAAGAAGCATAAATGACTTAGGGC